TGTGGCTAATATGAAGGTCCATATGAGGGGTCCATACATGGCACCCTCACTATAGAATTTTTGGAAGTTCTCTTTATTTAATTGGGCTTTAGGGTGGCTTGCACAATTCCTTACTTAAGTGGGATTGAGAGTTCTCTTTTTAAAAGACCAATTTAACATCACCCAATTTTATTAAGTGTGCGTGCATCACAAGAATTTTACGTTTTTTATTTCCTTCTTGACACATGATATGAAAGCTTGTCGACAACAGTTGTAGGTTATTTGTAATGCTATTTTTTTTCTATGACTTATGAATGACATTGGTATTGTTTAAATTATAAGGATATTTGGTTGTCATTTTTTTACTAAAGCTTTTAACCTTTCAAAATTGCACCTCCGCTAAAAAGTTTCTGGATCTGTCATTGCCCAGAGGTGGGTTTTCTGCATAAATATATATGTGTTCATTCTCTCATGCCATTAACACGATATATGTTCTACTAGTTGATTTGATTAAAGAGAAATTTATAATAAAAATAATAAATATGTTCTAGAAAGTTTGGTTTACAATCGTACACGTGACTAGACATGGGTGCTATGCGGTGCAAGTTATGTTTTGGGTGAAATGTTATACCTTACTGACCCATTAATTTGAACTTTCTTTAAAATGAAGAACAAAACAAATGATTCTTTTTGAATTTTTTTTTCATTCATAAATCAGATGATTCACAACATCTTAAATTGTTATTCAACTCTCTCTCTCCCAAAGTTATGGAATTTTAGAGATAGGATGAGAGAGAAACTTCAGTGCAAGATAGAAGAAATAGTAATGGAGGGATGTAATCCATATGTTTTGATCGAAAAAGCTTAAAAATGGCATCATGCATGACACATGACTATATAAGTTTTTGTAATGGATGCCACTATTTGTGTCCATTAAACACACTTTCAAAAGTTTAGGTTGAGACATTCAAAACTAGACATGGGTGCTATGTGGTGCAAGTTAAGTTCTAGGTGAAACGTTATACTTTATTGACCCATTAATTTGAATTTTCTTTAAAACGAAGAACAAATCAGATGGTTCTTTTTTCTGTTCTTTTTTTTCGCTCAGAAATCATATGGTTCACAATATCCTAAATTGTTATTCAACTCTCTCTCTCTCTCCTAAAGTTATGAAATTTTAGAGAGAGGAAGAGAGGGAAACTTCACTGCAAGATAGTAAGACTCTAGAAGTCTTTTTCATTTTGTTTCTATTGTATAGCAATAATAATATAATATAATGTTGAGACATTCAAAACTCGACATCTTATACTCAACCCAAGTTAGGCAAGTAGGTCTGAAACTTGTTTATTTATTAACAACCAAAAAACAAAAACTAGTTTAACTTGTCAGTTCTGTCAATGGGGTAAAATAAAATGGTTCAGGTTTGTACTTTTGACTTGGACTCGTTTTATGCCTGTGGTTTATTTTTAGCGAAAAATAGTTGTTTAAACAATCTAAAATATGAACATAAAAAATAGTCGTTAACTTGTTTCACCTAATTAATATAAATAGAGAGATTTAAAATAGAATCCCCGTTTTCTTGTTATGAGACAGAGTTTGGTAGGCTTGGTCAAGCTTGGAGACGTTATCAGATCACTCGAATTAAAAACCAATTTATTTATAGATTATTCGTTTCACGTGGAAAAACCTAGATTTCTTGCCTATAAATATGAACCATTGTTTGCATAAGCCATCCATCCCTACTTCAAACACTTCATTTAAACATCTCTCGCTCTCAAAACACTTTCATTTTCAATCTCTCTTCCAATGGCACCTGCAGTAACTTCATTAACTGAGGCATCCAATGGTCATGAAACTGAAGTTGCAAGCATCAAAAGAGTAGCTGGCTCAGCTGCTTTCAGTTCTGTACCTTCCGAGTACACTTATACCAAAAATCCTAATGAACAAGGAGATGCAAATGACCCCGAACACTCAATCCCCACCATTGATTTTGCTCTTCTCATGTCTGGTTCTCCTGATCAACGGGTAAAAGTGATCGAGGAGCTAGGAAGAGCTTGCGAGGAATGGGGCTTCTTCCAGGTATGTACTTCATTTTGTGTACATCAATCACAGCGAAATGCTCTTTCATGATGCTTATGTTGTGAGACTGTGAATATCAAGTTGATTTTGTTCGTTATATATGCATTACGTGTGTGATGAAAATGAAGCTAATCAAACATAAAATGTATTCATGCTGGGTTTAATAGGTGACCAACCACGGTGTACCAGAGAGCTTGATGAAATCAATGATCGATGCGTGTCATAGATTTTTTGATCTACCGGAGGAGGAGAAGAAGGAGTTTCAAACAAAGAAACTGTTGGACCCAATTAGGTGCGGTACCAGTGCCAACGTCGCCATTGAAAAATTTCGTCTATGGAGGGATTTCCTCAAGGTCATAGCCCACCCTGAATTCAACTCACTCTACAAACCTGCTGGATACAGCGAGGTTTCACTGGAGTTCAGCAAAAAAACCCGAGAAGTAGCCACAGAAATATTGAAGGGAATATCAGAGAGCTTAGGGTTGGAGGCTGACTACATAGCAAAGGCCATGAACTGGGACCGTGGCTTACAAATTCTGGCCGCGAATTACTACCCGGTGTGCCCACAGCCCGATAAAGCCATCGGTCTACCTCCTCATACCGATCATGGACTGGTGACCCTCCTCATTCAGAATGAGATGGGTGGCCTTGAAGTCAAGCACAAAGACCAATGGGTGTTGGTGAATGCTGCTCCGGGAGCTTTTATTGTTAACATTGGTGATCAAATGCAGGTACCAAAATAACACCCTACTTTTTTAAATCTAAAACCCTTCTTATCTAAGAATTCTCTACTTATTTTCATAAATTAATGGTACCGATTATTTATGCGTATGGTTAATTCTTTGTGGCAGATTTTGACAAACGACAAGTACAAGAGTATATGGCATAGGGCTGTTGTGAACAACAAAGCTACGAGGATATCAATAGCTGTACCACATGGACCTTCACTAGACACACCAGCTTTACCAATCCCAGAATTGTTAAAGAGAGAAGGCCAAGCACCAAAATACGTTGGAATGACATATGAGAAATTCATGGAGCTTCAAGCAGGCCCTGCTGCCTACGTGAAGCCTTGCTTAGATTACCTCCGAATCTAGGCTATCTCGACGACCCAATTAAGAGTTGTAGCTTCTTTTCTTTCTGGTCTTCAAAAATATATATTGATTATGTGTTAAGTATATATTCATGCTCTATAGGCGAAGCGTCTTCAAGTGTTATCTGTGTTTTCAGATAGGCTTAGAAGTTATTTAATTATGCGGGATTCATTGTGAAATTCTTGTATAATACAAAATTATCTATTATAATTTTTATATATAAGAAAATGATTTAATAGCATGACTATCTACCTCTGAAGGAAGTCTGATCGAAGAAAAAAATGAAAGCCTTTCGGTGTCTCTTTTGTCGTCGCTTTTGATCTTACTCATTATTGTTCCCTATAACTGAATGCATATTCTTTCACAGAAAATATATATATATATATATATATTTTTAAAAACCTGATATAGCTGAAGTTCTGTATATCCTAACCCTGGAGTGGCGCCCCCCCCCCCCCCCCCCAAAAAATATTTTTATCACTTTTCTATTATATAATATATAGAATTTGTAATAAACAACTTAGAATTTAAGTTAAAATTTCCTCTAAACAAATTAAACATGACTCAAGTAGAAATATTTAGCTCTAAACATGCAAGTATTGAATACTTTGGTGTTTTATATACTTGTATTTTCTAATTTGGCCCCCCAACTTTACAATTCTAGCTCCACTCCTGATCCTAACTTACGTCCCCAAATCCTTTGACCCAAAAATATTCACCAAATGGTGACTTGTTTGTAAGATAAATCTAGTTGTGTCAGTTTTTTTATTCTAGTTTGTCATATTATATCACCACATGATGTTATTAATACACCCGTATAATAGTAACACATGTATATTAAGTAATGTTATACCCTAAATAGGGAACTTGTTTTGGGGATTAATTAAGAAGATCAGAGAATAGAGAGAAGATGGAATGAAAAAGAACTTTTGAAAAGTAAAAAATATTTGAAATTGCTTGTAAATTTTTGTTTTCAGTTTGTGTAGCATTCCATTACAGTTTTTTACCCTCTTATCCATCCCTCTCTCATCCCTTCTTTCTCATTCTTTCTTTTAGATTTTTCCCTTGTATTTTCCATATTTATGAATTAAAAAAATGAAATACGAAATGTTTATCAATCCAGTCTTTGTGACAAAATGTGCCTAACGCATGAATTATTCTTGTGACACAATTCCTGAACATATGACCAAATTATAGGAATCAACTATCCTGCACAGAAATTCTAGCTATGAACAAAGTCACCCAAAACATGATATCTTCCTCTTCAGACTTCAGAACCACGAACCGTAAAATTCTGTAGAAACTAGACATCCAAGGATTTCCAACCATATAAGGCTCGTAACTTGATTCATCTGAGCAAGTATAAACTATTTCGTAAAGCCGTTTGATCCGCACAGACAGTTTATGAGAAAATGTGCATAATGCATCAAAGATTGCCTTAAAAATCTTCAAATTAATTCCTTTGTTTAACTTTACCTACAAAAGAAGATAACAAGGTAAATAACTAACAAATAAGAGAAACTAAGCATAAAATTTCAAAAAAAAGAGTATTCAAATGATATATAATTATGAGCTTATCAAGGGGTGTAGTAGATTCAAGGTAATAAAGTTAGGGCAAGTTGAGTTGAGATACTCATTCAAGGATTGCACAAATTGTTTATTGGAATCAAATAATGATTTAAGGATCATCTTCATAGTTTGTGGACTAATGATGAATCAATTAATCCACATTTTATTAGGGATAAGACTGCAAGTAATGAGTTGCAATTAGTTGTTGGGAATATGAGTTCTTCGTTTTCATTGAATGTTGGGAATAAAAGTTCTTCGTCTTTTAGTAAAAATTCTAGTATGGATGTTATTGCTTCTGTTGATTCGAATGGTGTGTCCTCGTCTTGTTTGACTGTTTATTGTGACGGTAGTAGCGGTGATGATGTCAATGCATATTTAGGAAAATACAGGACTTCTGGAGGTCGGAGGTACTTAACTAGTGATTGGGAGAGCTACATTTCTCATGAAGGGCAGAAGTTTGAGGGTGCAGTGTGTAAATTTTGTGAGAAGTTGCTCAAATATTCAATGGAGATTGGATTCAAGTTGAAGTATTTGAAAAATGAGCCTTCTCGTCTTAGTGCGTAGTGTTTGAAGAAGGAACCAGATTGTAGCGTGTCCATACATTGAAGTCTACTGTCAATGGATTTTTTTACATTAGGGTTTTGAATAACATTCATACTTGTACTGGTTTGATTCGTGAGAAAAAAGAATAAAGCTATGGGATCTCGTCTTTTGTCTTTGGTGGTCAAAGGCAAAGTTTTATTTGAAATCATGAATTATTTGAAGGAGAATTATGGTTTAGATATCCCCCACCACATTGCTTGTTATGGGAAGGAGTCTGCTAATCGTGATTTACATGGTGATGAGGCTTTGTCTTACGCTTACTTACCTTGGTATGTTGATTCTTTGAAGTGGAGTAATGTGGGATCTCACTGTGTGCTGGATTGTGTAGTGAGGTGAAGAAGTTGTGTATTTTTCTTTTAAAAATATAATGACATAATATAATTTTTAGAATTTCGAGTGGAGTTAAATTTTTCCCTGAGTGTGAAATTGCCACATATATAAACCATTAAATTCAAATTGAACATTTTAAATTTTATATTTGACGGATTATGCTCTAAGTGGAGAAGAGTGAAACCAGTCACCCAAGCCTAAAAAAAACCACCAAAAAGAAAAAAAGATAGCCTGATTATATGCAGTACCTTTCAGATGATGATTTAGAAAAAGGTAAGAGAGTAGTAATTTGGAAAAGGAAAAAAGAAGAAGAGCACATTGACTTGCTGATTAGACTATAAACTGCCTTGGAATTAATAGATCAAACAAAAGCAGAGATTGCATATGAAAGATACAAGAAAAGAAACATAAAGGAAGCTGCAACTGTTTCAATATGGTCGGGGTCCTGTTGAAGTGTGACAAAGCCGCACCGTAAATAGCTTAGGCTCGTATGTGATCAAAGGTGGACTTCATGTAGTTTTTCTCACTTTGTTGAAGTTGTATATATTCCTTATAGTTCATGGCAAGGTATTTAGGAGCTTGGCCTTTTTTTTCCAACAACTCTAGAGCTGGGGCAACAATTGTATCTACATATGGTCCATGTGGTAAGGCGACAGAGATTCTTGTAGCTTTGTTGTTCACAGTGGCACGATGCGTCACACTCTTGTATTTGCCGTTGGTAAGAATCTAGAAGACCGAAAAAAAAAATTTGGTTTAACTAAACCAGAAGCTAACAATAAGACTCATGCATGAAATTGTTTGATGTGAGAAAAATGAAAAATGATGAAATTAATTAAATTACCTGCATCTGATCAGCAAGGTTAACGAAGAAACCGTTGGCAGGGCCATCGACAGTAAGCCATTTTCCATTGTGCTCAACTTGGAGGCCATTCATCTTATTCTGGACGAGGAGAGTGACAAGGCCATGATCAGTGTGATGGGGTATACCAATTGCATGTTCCGGCTGAGGGCATGGTGGGTAGTAGTTTGCAGCGAGCATTTGTATGTAGTTTGGCTCCAATCCCAGGCTTTCTGAAATTGCTCTTGTTTTCTCCAATGCAACTTCTCGGCTTCTCTTGCTGAACTCCATTGACACCTCACTAAAGCAACCCGGTTTGTAGAGGGAGTAGAACTCAGGATGTACTCTCACCTTGAAGAAGTCCCTCCACAGAAGGAATTTGTCCAATGCCAGATTATAGCTGGTCCCATACTTAACATCTCTAGCACATCGTCCCCTGATTTAAACTCCTGCTTCTCCTCGTCCGGCAGACTGAAAAATCCATGGCATGCATCAATCATCGCCTTCATCAGGCTCTCTGGCACTCCATGGTTAATGGCCTGCAACGCATCACCACGGTTAATAAATTTTTATTTAATTATTACACTGTTACTATAATTGTTATTTATATATGCATATCAACTTACTATGAAGAACCCCAATTCTTGACAAATTTTAACTAGGTCATGGATGATTTTTGACCGTTGAACATGAGACCCCGAAGTGAGAAGGGACATATCAACGATGGGAATTGCGAATTCGGGATCGTTAGGATCTGCTTCTTCATTGGGGTTTATGTTGAAGGCATATGCAGTAGGAACAGAGTTGAGGGCTGGTGATTCAGCAAGTGATTTGATGCTTGTTACTTTCGATGCCTCTATGGTTTGAGCAGCACCAACTGGAGACATTGCTTGAAGTTTCAGACTAGTTGTGTGATAAAAGACTGAGAGTTTTAACTAAGAAAATGAGATGATGATCGATCAGTAAGTGCTAAGTAGAAGCTACTGAGTTGTTCTATAAGAAAGAAAGCGTAGCTATTTTATAGCCACTTAGAGTAGAGGGCATGCAGGTACGTACTTTTTGTTAGTGAGATCCTAGCTTAATTATGATATTTATTTCCCAGTTTATTAGGATGATATTTTTTTCCTTTTTGTACAGATATTGTGTAATTAGGTTTTTATCTTGTTTCCTAGTTTGACCCTACTAGGGTTACATCCTTGTACTACAAATACCTTCCTTTAGAGAATGAAATACAACCTGAAAAATATTGTACCCATATTGTTTGACTTGGCATCAAAGCCAACTTTTCTGGTGACCTGTGTGTTGTGCCCACCCGTATTCTATCCCCATATTTTTTTCCTATCCATGTTGTGTGTGCCCTCCTGGGTTTGTGTGTCGTGTTGTAGTGTTCGTGCCTCTGCTGTGTTTGTGTCTGTCTTCGTGCATCTGCCGTATATGTGCCTCTGCTGTGTTCCGTTGTATATTCTGCCGGGATCTGTTGAATTTTTGGTGCAATCATGGGTGATAACTCCATTGTTGGTGCTGTTGCTGCTGCCTCTGCAAATTTGTGTGTTTCTGATTCTATTCAAGGTACTGGCTCTAATACTTGGATAATTGACACCGGTGCTTCTGATCATATGACTTATGATGCTAATTTTTTTGATGAGTTGTCTAGTAACACCATGACCCATACATAACTAGTGCTAATGACTTGCCCTCTCCAATTACTGGTGAGGGCACAATCTTTCTCACTCCTACTCTGTCCTTGTCTCGTGCGTTACTAGTTCCCAATATCTATTGTAACTTGTTATCTGTTGGTCGATTACTTGATACACTTAAAGCTTTTGCTACTTTCTATCCTACGCATTGCTCTTTTTAGGATCTCAAAACTCACGAAACGATTGGGCATGGTAAATGGATAGGGGGGGGTTATATTATTTGACATTGCCTTCTGCACCAGTTCGTGATCGTGTCGTTAATACTGTTCAAAGTTGTAGTGTTAAAAACAAACAGCAAATTTGGTTATGGCATCGTCACTTGGGACACCCGTCATTTGGCTACCTTAAGTGTTTGTTTCCATCTTTATTCCGCTCTTGTGATGAGTCCAGTTTTAAGTGTGAGACATGTATTTTGGCCAAGAGTCATCGCACTGTGTTTCCTTTGAGTGACAGTAAAGCGGCAAAGCCTTTTGATTTAGTGCATTATGATGTGTGGGGTCCGGCTTGTGTTACTTCGAACGGATTTCGTTGTTCGTCACATTTATTGATGATTGTACCCGACTCATTTGGGTTGTCTTGCTGAAAAATAAACATGATGTTACTTCCATCTTTCTAGAGTTATATACTATAGTGTCAACTCAGTTTCATGCTTGAGTCAAAGTATTCCGGACTGATAACGGAGGCGAATATGTGAATAACACTTTGGCATCTTTCTTCTGTGCTCAAGGTATTATTCACCAAACGACAACGACATTTACTCCTCAGCAGAATGGTGTCTCTGAACACAAGAATCATCAGTTACTTGAAGTTGCCCGCTCCCTTATGTTAGACATGTCTGTTCCCCATCATCTTTGGGGGCATGTTGTTTTATCTGCTGCCTATTTGATTAATCGTACTCCTAGCCGGGTTCTTGATTTCAAGACTCCACATGATGTGTTTGGTGACCATGTTTCCCTTGTCTCAGTCTCCAAGTTGCCCCCTAAAGTTTTTGGGTGTGTTGCCTATGTTCATGTGTACTCTCATCAACAGAGTAAACTTGATCCTTATGCTTTGCGATGTGACTTTATTGGTTACTCGTCTATTCAGAAAGGTTATAAGTGCTGTCATCCACTTACCCAGAAGGTGCATGTTACTTTGGATGTGACTTTCCATGAAGAAGTGTCATATTATGTCTCTCCCTCTTCTCCAATTTAGGGGGAGAGGGAGAGTGAATTGGAGAGTCTTGGACTGGAGAATGATATTTTTGAAGATACTGCTCTCGGGAAGGAAACGACATGTCGCACTGAAGCAAGTGACCGGTCACCCATATCTGAAGATGAAACTTGTGGTCCCTATGAAGAAACGACTGATCGCCCTTTAGAACTCGATCAGTCGCCCATATCTGGAGATGAAGTAGGTGCTCTCGATGTCGAAACGACTGGTCACACTGAAGCAAGTGACCAGTTGCTTGTATCTGAAAATAATGACAGTGATTCTTGTATGGATGAGTTCAATGCAATACCCCCCCTCTGCCCTGCCAGTGCCCAATCTACTCGTGATAGTGAATCAAGTGAGGTAATTTCTAATGATTTATCTGTGTCAACTTATTAGTTACCCCCACGAATCACTCATGGGAAACCTAAAGTACAATATTCTCCTGATATACATGTCAAGTCTAAATATCTCATTAGTCATTATGTGTCAACTCATCGTTTGTCTAAGTCATATGCATCATATTTGTGTCAATTATCTAGTGTATATGTACCAACTAAGCTGCATGATGCTTTATCTAACCCGAAATGAATGGATGCCATAAATGTTGAAATGGATGCCTTGAACAAGAATAAAAACATGGGATTTAGTTCCTTTGCCACGAGGGAAGAAAACTGTTGGATACAGATGGATGTTTACTTTGAAGCATAAAGCTGATAGTTCCATTGACCATTACAAGGCTAGATTGGTAGCAAAAGGTTATACTCAGACCTATGGAGTGGATTATTTGGAGACCTTTGCTCCAGTGGCAAAGCTCAATACTGTGCGTGTACTATTGTCCCTGGCTGCTAATCGCGATTGGCCCTTATTACAATTCAATGTCAAAAATGCCTTTCTACATGGTGACCTCAAGGAGGAAATTTACATGGATCTCCCTTCTGGTATTCCTGTAACCTCTTAGGAGGGTGTTGTGTGTAAGTTGCGGAAGTCTTTATATGGATTGAAGCAGTCTCCAAGAGCGTGATTTGAGAGATTTACAGCATATATGAAGAAATTTGGGTATGTGAAGAGTAACTCAGACCATACTTTGTTTCTAAAGCGTCATAAAGGTAAATTGACAGCTTTAATTATTTATGTTGATGATATGATTGTGACTGGAGATGATCAGGCAGAAATGCAAAATCTTCAGAAGTATTTGGCTTCCGAGTTTGAGATGAAGTCATTGGGTGATTTGAAGTACTTTATTGGGATTGAAGTTGCCAGATCTAAACATGGCATCTTTCTGTCTCAAAGAAAATATATTTTGGATCTACTTCCAGAGACTGGAATGTTAGATTGTAAACCAATTGATACCCATAGTGAACAGAATCATAAGTTGGGGTTATATCCTGATCAAGTCCCTACAGATAAAGAGCGTTATCAACGACTTGTGGGGAAATTGATTTATTTATCTCATACACATCATGATATTGCATATGCAATGAGTGTGGTGAGTCAGTTTATGCATTCTCCTTGTGAAGATCATATGGGTGCTGTGATGCGCATCTTGAGGTATCTGAAAGTAACTCTTGGAAAGGGTTAATGTTTTGCAAGTATGGTCATACAGATGTGGATGGGTATACGGATGCTGATTGGGCTGGTTCAGTCACTGATAGACATTCTACGCCTGGATATTTCACATTTGTTGATAGTAATCTTGTTACTTGGAGAAGTAAAAACAAAAAGTAGTGTCTAGGTCTAGTGCCGAGGCCATGTACAGTGAGATGGCTCAAGGTGTGTGCAAGTTACTATGGTTGAGAAGATTGTTGAGAGATCTTGGGTTTGGACCCCAGAAACCCATGGATTTGTGTTGCGATAATAAAACTGCAATTGAATTGCCATAACCCTGTGCAACATGATCGTACAAAACACGTGGAGGTTGATCGACATTTTATTAAAGAGAAGTTAGATGTTGAAATTATTTCTTTCCATTTATATCATCTGAGTATCAACTAGCAGATGTTCTTACGAAAGCTGTGTCTACTACGGTCTTTCTCAACTCGTTTGACAAGTTGGGCATACGTGACTTCTTTGCTCCAACTTGAGGGGGAGTGTTAGCGAGATCCTAGCTTAATTAGGATATTTATTTCCCAGTTTATTAGGATTATATTTCTTTCCTTTTTGTACAGATATTGTGTAATTAGGTTTTTATCTTGTTTCCTAGTTTGACCATACTAGGATTACATCCTTGTACTACAAATACCTTCTTTTAGAGAATGAAATACAACATGAAAAATATTCTACCCATATTGCTTGACAGGACCCGCCCTAAATTTCCCGAAACCTGAGACGAATCCTGTGGAAACCCCGGCATTACACCCATGCCGGGCTCACTCACTAAAAATGTAGCCTCTTTTTTCAAAAGGAGTAAGGGCACGAGACTTTCTGCCGAAATTTCGGTAGAGTCTCCCCTGTAATTTGGACTTTCCCCAAAATTTGAACCTGCATAAAACACATTTAAAATCCACAACTGGTAGCATACATCATATCACATAATCTCTCCCCATACGTCGGTATTACCAACGCCACATATGGGGTCTGTCTGCATGCCGGATAACCTACAACACGTGAGACCTCAACATCATATCACATAATCTCCCCATACGCCGGTACTACCAATGCCACGTATGGGGTTTGTCAACACGCCGGATAACCTACGCCACGTGCGACCTTAACATAATATCACAATCTCTCCCTATACGCCGGTACTACCAACACCATGTATGGAGTCTGTCCGCACGCCGGATAACCTACGACACGTGGGACCTCAACATCATATCACATAATCTCTCCACATATGCCGGTACTACCAACGCCATGTATGGGGTCTGTTCGCACGCCGGATAACCTACGACACGTGGGACCTCAACATCATATCACATAATCTCCCCATACGCCGGTACTACCAATGCCACGTATGGGGTCTGTCAACACGCCGGATAACCAACGCCACGTGCGACCTCAACATAATATCACATAATCTCCCCATATGCCAATACTACCAACGCCACGTATGGGGTCTGTCTGCACGCCGAATAACCTACGACACGTGGGACCTCAACATCATATCACAATCTCTCCCCATACGCCGGTACTACCAACACCACGGATGGAGTCTGTCTGCACGCCGGATAACCTACGACACGTAGGACCTCAACATCATATCACATAATCTCCCCATACGCCGATACTACCAACGCTACGTATGGGGTCTGTCAACACGCCAGATAACCTACGCCACGTGCGACCTCAACATAATATCACATAATCTCCCCATACGCCGTTACTACCAACGCCATGTTTGGGGTCTGTCCGCACTCCGGATAACCTACGACACGTGGGACCTCAACGTCATATCACAATCTCTCCCCATACGCCGGTACTACCAACGCCACGTATAGGGTCTGTCTGCACGCCGAATAACCTACGACACGTGGGACCTCAACATCATAGTATAGGACGATACTTACACCGTGTAATCAAACATCTTTATCACATAAATATAATAATAATTCCTAACAATCCAAAAACCTCAACCATAACATAGCATCCGAAAATTCCCCAATTAAAGACAATAAATTAATATCCTAAATCCACATAATCCACATAACTCCACAATGCTCAAGACCTGTCACTAGGGGCATTATAATCTCCCTAGGAAGGTAAGACTACCTCGGAAGACTCAAGGTCAACCAAGAGTCAAATTACCCAAACTTGGTCAAACGGGCCCACGGGCCGACAACCTCCAAACTCTGATCTGAAAGTTCCTATGTGTCCTACAAGGCTTCAGACACACGTCCTGCAAGTTTGGTCCAAATCGAACGGTCGGATTGCTCACGATCGCACGATTGGACGGTTACTAAAACCCTAGCCCCAGGGTTGGCATTTTCGGAGTATCCGAGACACTGTTTTACGATTCGTCGAATCCTACACGATCCTAAGGATGTCCAGATTAACCTATAATAAACTCAAGACTATCCAACGGTCCAAACCTAGCGAACCCGGATAACGCGTAATAGGCAATATCCGTTTGAGACTCAAACAGTATCCAAATAGAAATCCGAGCACACCTACACACTCGTGAGGACCAGGAGATCACCTCGGGACATAATGCCTCATTTCTACAGTGCCCACACCCCGCCACACAAGCTGGCAGCGCGTGGGTGTCCAAAGCGATAACCCATCGCCGGAAAAACCCAAAATCACAACTCAAGACTTCTACCTTAGGTGTAACACCCTATCTGGAGTCACTTTTGTTCTTGGGCATACCCCAAAAACTGACCAGAAGTGGCCGGAATCGCTATCCCAAAACCGGCCGAACCCTAACTCGAAAATCAGACAATCTAAACTCAAAATTAATGAAATCCTACCCAAACATCAGCTAGAGCTCGAGGAATAGATGGATTTCTATACCTGGATCGCCAAAAATGGCGGTCGGAAGAGAAAGATCGAACAACTAGAATTTTCCTCTCAAAACCGGTCGGCGTTCTGGAAAATCGGGCGATGTCGCTGCTGTCTGGCGTCAGAGAACAGGTGAGGATGGATGGTGGAGACTGGCCGGTCATTTTGGGACCGATCCTGGCCCGAACGGTGGCCGGACATGGAGGTGGCAACCGGCGGAACACGTGGCTGCTGGGCGGGGGGGGGGGGGGGGGGGGGGGGGGGGGGGGGAGGAGAGAGAGAAAGGTGAGGGCTTTTCTGACTTTATCAACCCTTTTCGCAATATTTACGGTTATGCTACTAAAGGTATTTTGATCGTATCTCTCTCGTTACAACTTCAATTCGAGCCCACTACGTGTCTACGGACCCATCTCGCCGTACTCTACGCAACGGCACAGTCGAAATTCCCAAATTCCTTCCTGGTCAAAAAGTGAACTTTAAACCTAATAAAATATTCTAGGGGCAAAATGGTCTTTTAACTGAATAAATTAATATTTACCATTTTATTTAGGACCGGGTCATTACATTGCTTGACTCTTTTCACATGGTCAAAATACTTCCTAGGTATGAGTCGTGTCTGATCTTAGAAATTATTTACAAGTAAATTAATACACACTCACAACATGTGGATTCCATCGTATATCGATATGTTAACTTAACTTAAAATGTTTTTAGTTATTAAGAAAGTGCACGTGTGTGGTATTTGCAAATAAATAATGTTTGGAATGATATAGACATATGGCCGGTGCTAAGTTGTTAATCATGATTTGGTGGAGTGTTTTGTGGATTAGATTTGAATTCATAACCTAGTGAAGATAAATATCACATTTTTCTCGGTTAAGATTTAAAATCTTAACAACATAACATATATTATCTTGAAAGCAAAAACTATTACTCTAAGCCATGTTAAGTCACGAATGATGTCATGGAATAATGATGGTCAAATTACTTTAGAATCATTTATTTAGTTTCTATTAAAATAGGAAGACTGATACCACAATAGCAGAGAATACAAAAAATAACGCAGAGAGAATTTCAGAGATAGAGAAAGTAACTGTTATATTTCTCATAGAGCTCAACTGAGCACAATTACAGTATTTATATCAGCTTAGTGGGTTCACGTTTTCTAACCTCTCTTACTTCTCTCACCTTCTCTTATCAATACTAACAATTTTCCTAAACTGCCTAACAAGATTAACAATATCTCAACAGCTTTACTCTTTAATCTTCTGACATGTGGCGGCACTAGGACCATTGATATCTTTACAGTTTCTTCAAGACAGGTATGCTTGAAAGTCATGTCCAGGTAATAAACGAACGTAAAATATATGGCGGGACTTCAATTGTCTGATTTTATACATTTGAAAGCCTGATCAACTTGTTGCGACATATCTTGAAATGCGGACGTTGCTTGTTCTGAAGAATGCAAAGACTTCTAGAATAGCTACCTAGTCTGAGAGTCTCCCTCATGAGTCATGTCCCTTCTTCTCCATCGTTTTCTGGTGCCAGAAAGAAACAAAGTATGGTCAGACCACCAACATTAGAATATATGAGACAATGACAAAGCAAATCAACGCAATCGGACAAGCACATGGTATTTTTTTTAAAAAAAAAAAAAAAAAAAAAAAAAAAAAAATTCCTTGGATTCAAAGTAGATGGTAAGTTCCATGAGGTTATAGATTATATATAATGATATGCAAGGAAGGTGACACCCCACCAAACCTCACCAAACGCAACCATGTGACCAACTAATAATTATTGATGTCTTTCTGTAGGGGTGATGCTGAATATTTTATGAGTGATACTCTTTCCTTCCATAGGATTATCTGTCTTTTTTTTTCTTTTATCAGGAAAAGAATGTATTAAACACCAAAACAACAAAACAGACCGGTGATTGGTTCCTACGTTGGAACATATATGGAAAATAATATATGCATTTCTTAAACGGCCACGAGGTGAGCTCGACTAGTTGGCACAAGCTCATGAGCTTTGTTCCCAAAGAAGAAAAAAATAATAATAAGTATCTGCGATGCATATACTTACCGTTATGACAAGTTTATTTTAAATAACTCCAGCATATCCCTTGTTATGCGCTATGTGATGTAGCTAGGAATACTACTAGGGTTTACTGGTCACGTGTCAGCCCTAGACTAGGAAAGTGGAATTTCCCTCTTGTAGTATTTAATGTTTGCGAAGCCTCAAGGAGAGGCATTAATGAAAAAGCTGAAACTTTTTTTGTCTTCTCTTTTCTTTCAGTAATTTACTGGAAATTGCTAAAATAGTCCTAACATTAACTCACGTCAACACTTCTCAAGTTAGTGCATATATGTCACCAATGTCCAACTTGATAAGTGAGTAACACTCGTCCAGAGATGGCCCTTGTCAAGTGTTTGGGCCAAAACTCTGCACGCCAGTCCATTTTTGTCAAAAGGCCCATGAACAAAACATTTGGGCTTTTATCTACAGGAATTAGAAGTCAAAGACCAAGATACTAAAAAGCCTAGACCTTTTTGAGCAGATTACAAATATAGCCATGATCTGAAAGAAAAATACAATTATTGGCAATTAAAAAACTGACACACACGGCTTTGGATAAAAAGCCTAGCTTCTGTAAAATTCACAGCACTTGATCTCTACCCCAAAAAAAGCAAGTTAGTAGATCTTTTTTACTAAAGAATGTTTTCCCAAGAGAGACCCCACGTGACTTTCTAAACTTTGAAATGTCAAAATTTTCAATTATCACAGAGGAGTTGATAGAGAGTTAATGAAGGCAGGTCTTACAGGAGGACTTCTCCATTTTTGCAGCCGAAGAAGAAAGATCAAATCCCCTTTTTATATACAGATAAACTCTACACCAAAGCAGGTGGCCTTTCCAAGAGATAAGCAGACTATGTTTTTAAGAGATAAGCAGGGAGCAAGGGAGTTTTTCAACATGAAAAGCAAACTGACCGTCAAGGTAGATTGTGTTTTTTCTCTTTACAAGGAACAAACAGAGAACAAAGAGAGTTGGTTTTCTTTCAGAAAAAGCAAGGAAAAGAACTCCATAAAAGCTGATTGTTGATGGTTCTTTTCTGCTAGAATAATGGCTTCCTTCTTCTATGGCATTGAAAAGGGAAAAAGATTTTGGAAAGATCTGCCGCCTATTATTAAAAGATTAAAAGACCCACTCCAGCATTTCCTATAAATGTGAGAGAAGGTGAACATGTCATAAGACAGCCAAAAAATCAATCAAGACAAAAACTCTCAAAGTCACAACTGACAAACTCAAAAAGATTAACTGATCTCAAAAGCTTTTACACCATAAATCAACCAAAGCCCTTTGATCCACAAGAAACAAATCAACCAAAATTCAAATCTCTGGTTTCGGTTTAGTTCAAAGAAACAATTTTTACAAAGCGAGATTTCTCTCGTTACAAAATTGGTTCAGCACAAAGCCAAATCAAGCAGAGAAGGATTTCCCTCTTGTTGTATTTAATGTTTGCGCAACCTCAAGAAGAGGCAGCATTGAAAAAACTGAAACTTTCTTTCTGTATTCCTTTCAATAATTTATCCTTCTATATTGAAAATTGCTAACATAGTCCTAACATTAACTCACGTCAACACTCCTTCTTAAGTTGGTGCATACATGTCATTGTTTGTGCCTAATAAATCACGGTCATAAACTGACTGAAGGGACTTCCTCTCGGCCCTAGCACATACTCATGAACTGAAATGGCCACGTTTCGTTAGGTATTTCGCCTTCTTGAAAACAAAAGAAAAGCTGCAAAGGCAGAATCCTCTCGATCTCGCGACCGCGGTATTATAGGCCGAAGCCGAAGGCCGTAAAAGACACGGCCGAAGATACTGTGGTTAAATCGCCACGTGGCCTCAGGGTCCCACGCCCCATTTAATGAAGTAATGCCTCTGACTATCGCAGCAAACCCACTAGTCGCAAGAAGTATTTAATGCAGGAGGGAAGAAGGGAAGTGACTGAAGTCAGGATTTGGTGATGGAAATCAGAGTGGTTAGGCGCAAACATTCTCACAAGTATTCTTACAACTTGAGGTCAAATCACCAACCACCAGACCAGGGCATTAAATGCATTCCCATGGCTAAGGGGGCAGAACCCACGATCAGGGTGGTGGCTGAGATTTATCGGGATTTATAGGGGTCACGCCACCATGCTTCACGATCCCAAATGCCGATTTGACAACCCACTTGCCCCGATCAGGCTCCAACACGCAGATCTTTTCAGCCTCGATTGTCCCTCTAGGACTCCCCCTATAAATACTAAGCTCAAGACTACATTCAAGGGGTTCAAACACCAAACCAAAAGCCTCCCACTGAGCAAATTATATTTTCCTGTCATGCACTTTCAATACCTTTATTTGCTTTCCTAGGAGTAGTGGTAGATTGTAAGGAAAATTCATTCATTAATATATCATACAACCATTGATTTTCAAGGCGCCGAAGCACCATCTCTGTTATCATCTCATTCACCTCATATATCACACGACCGTCGCTCTTTGAGCAACGCGCCGAAGCACCGCCTAAAACCCGCCACCAACACCACCACTAAACGACCTTGTAGTTCAGGCCGTGAACCTGACGGCTGAGCTCAGTTCCTCTCTCGGCCACAATCGTTTGATTAGGAGTTGAACTCAAAACGGGCGCATCATTTAACCATCTTCTACCCAAACCTCATCACCATCTTGACGCACGGTAGACCGTGCTGGCACGCCCGCGCGCAACTGCACCGCATCCAAAAGAAGGACTTCACATGTTAACGCACATCCCCTCGGCCCGAAGCACCAGGCCTTGAGATTTGCACAACCAACACTTTTGGCACGGCCGGTGGGACTCTTGTCAAAAACTCATGGTGGAAACTAGGGCACAGGCAAAGCTCAATAACAAAACAGTCGAAATGACTTCCGAGGCTCCTGAGTCCACCTCACCAATCACTATCACCGAGACCGAACACGCGGTCGGAATCTCGGCCAGCGTTCCAATAACGACGGATCGTGCGGCCGAGTCCATAGAAGAGCAAGTAGTAGTGGAGGGTCTGATGGCTAGGCAGGCCTACAGGATAGAGACATCCTTTATGGAGAGGATGCCGGTAACGTTGTCTGCGACGCGTCCCAGAGCCGGACAGAGAAGCCAAGAGAGCGAGAGGTTTGAGCCCTACGGCGAAAGCAGCAGCCTCGGCGCCTCTGGCTGCACCTAAGCGTCAGGCTACGGCCAGCATTCTCAGCCGCCGACAAATAGCTGGGGGCAATCGCATCCAACATGGGTAAATCCCGGACCGACCTGCCCAGCAGAAACATCGTACGGCCCACTCTATGCTTTGGCCGTATCATTGGGGCAAAGCAACCCCACGCATTCCGGGGTCCAGCAACTTGGCCCAGTTCACACCGTGGCCGTCCAGACCCATCCAGGCCTAAGCAACGCGACCGTTGCTTCGTCACAGCAATACAATTAGAGCAATCCGACCGTTTCACCATTACAGGCGTTGTTATTTCCGTCAGGCTCCCACCTTCAGTATGGTTAGGCCATTCCAACAGCAACACATACGCACCCCGGTCAAACCTACGACGCTTATCTAATGCCGCTCGGCTCGGTCTCAACGGCCGAGCCCCTTGTTTAAGTGGCCCAGCAGATAAAGCCGCAGAACGATGCGCAACAGGTCCAGCGGCCACTTCCAACCCAGCTGAAGTTGCCCCCTCAGGATCCTCGGACCGTAGATGTTCGGCGCACGACCAAGGAGGGCTTAGCCTAGAGGCGGCCGGGGGCACCAGGTTATACTGAGCCATACCCATCCGGAAAGCCCAGGACTTGGCACGACTTACTCACTGAGGCTTTTTGGGCATACCACATATCGAAACACTTGGCCACGGGCACAGCTCCTTATGCCCTGACTTACGGCCAGGACACTAAAGTACCAATCAATCTAAAGGCTCGATTTCCTCGAATTACCAAGCAACTTGGGTAGGAGGTAAAGAACTACGCGCGAGCCATGGCCCAGGAGTTAGGAAATTTAGAACAGTCAAGATTCGACACTTACAATTCGATGCAAGCTCAGGAACAGATGGTGCCAAGGGCCTACAACAAAAAGGTCAAACAAAAGATATTCGCCGAGGGCGACCTGGTACGACGCACCGTGCTTCCTATTGGGACTAAAAACCCACGGATAGGCGCGTTTTCGCCGAACGGGAAGGGCCGTTTTCGCCGCGGCGCATTCCAATTAAGAGACGAAGACGGGGAACGTCACGACTTGGGAGACGGCCGGGAATGGAGCATAAATTGGCATAAGGCAAGAGAAATTTGAAAGGATATGTGTGTTTCAAGAAAAGAATGGCCAGTTGCAGCCATCTAGAGATATACATGAGGCATAAAAATGAATCTTTCGACTGCCCAAAAAATCAGATGTCATTGGGATTAAACTTAAGGTCCGTGATTACAAGCAACGGCCAATTTTGGTCGAGTAGGAATATATGTCTATATCTATATAAAAATTACATCCTAAAAACTATAAATGGCCTCCTGACTAAACCCCTTCGCTGAACATCCCCCAGATTAGGCATGTTATCCTTCTCCAGGCAATGTCCCCACCATCTATATTTGCCTGCCACCTCGCCCGGATTAGCTTCCTCTCGGCCAGTGCCCTTTTTTTCTCGGTCGCCGCCTTGAGGGTTTACCTGGCCGAAGACTTCAGCTCGGTTCCAACTGCGACCGCACCATCTCGGCGCTGAAGGATGAGATCTCGACGGGCCTAGAGCTCGGTGATCTGAACCTCGACCTGCGCGAGTTCCTCATTCTCTCTTTGGACAACGAGGTCATTTTCCTTCAAATGGGCCATGGCAGGTTGGACTTGTTCTTTTATCACCAACAGCTCCTGCTCAAGCGAGCACCCTTCGGTCATCCTCATGTTTGCCTCAGCGTATCGACCGATCATCTCCTCGCCCTCGGCCAAGCGAGCCTATAGCTCATCCAACTGAGCCGAGTCCAGCAGACCCAATGCCATGGCCGTATGTAGCACCCCGACTCCGATTATTTTCCTATTTTAATTAAATTAAGAGAAATTATTAATTTACTTTCAGGTTAAGGGTAATTTTGGTCATTTTTGATCTGGGAAGATTTTGGAACCACGAATGGTTTGGTTGCGTAGGTGGTACTGAGACGAAACCGTAGACAGGCGGTAGGCTTGAATCGGAGTTTTAATGAAGTTTTGGCGATCAAAATAAGCTCGATGGCGGAACCGTAATTAATTTGAAAAGAGTTTGGGGTAAAATCAGATTTTTCACTTTTACCCCTCACTTTCTCTCTCTCTCTCTCCCGCGTCTCCTCCCTCTGCGTGCGACAGCTCTCCTCCGTCACTGTGCAAACCGAACGGAAACCACCGTGCCGCCGCCGCCACAGTCCACGACCGTCCTCGAGACCGGTCCCGTTCGACTCGTCCTGAAGTCCCGATCAAAACCCACTTGTTATCCCAACTGGAAAGCTCGAAGTCCGGCCACGATATTGACTGGTTCAAACCGGAGGTTTTCGCGCTATTGCACTGCCGTCTCCGCCCTCCATTTCCGGTGAACCTGGTGAGGTTTCTTCTCCTTTTTACGTGTTCTAGCTGACTGTTGCTTAGGTTTGGATCGATGTTGATTTTGGGAACCGAATTGGAAACCTAGGTTTTGGCCGGTTTTCAATTTGAAGTTCTGGCCAGTTCCCGTGCGAATTGGACCTCGTGGTAGTTGAATAAAGTGATCCTGACCTTGAGAAGAAGCTAGGGTAGGAAGGGTGAGCGTTGGTGTGGAGATTTTCCGTCGCCGGAAATTTCTCTACACACCCATGCGCTGCCGGCGCGTGTGGCGGCACGTGGGCAAGGCTGGTGAAGTTGCTTTTTACCTTGATGAGATCCTTAGGTTGCCACGAGTGCGTAGGATTTTGCGAATCTCAATTTGGATGTCGTTTGACTATCGAACGGATTTCTCATATTGTGCGTTATTCGGGTTCGATAAGTTCTAACCGTCGGATCGTTTCCAAACTGAAGTATGTAGATCTAGGTGCTTTTAGAAACCTATAGGAATTCGCGGATCGTGAATCGGAGCCCCGGATGTTCCGATTCAATAATTTGAAGTTTGGGAATTCGCGATAACCGTACGATTGGAAGCGATTCCCAAACCTGTAACCGGACCTTAGGATATTCCATTGGACGTACACGCACCAGGAACTTGGGGATTTAAGTAATTCCTTTTGTGAATTTCTAATTTTGGAAGTGCGTTATTTTAATCAAGAGTTCGTATATCTAAATAGGTACTTCGGTCGATCATTCGCAGCAGGCAGGACCCTCTCGGGGCCGGGCAGCTTGGGATTATTTGTGAGTGGACTTTGTTTTAAGCATATGCATGGTTTTATTGATAAAAGATTTGTGCATATATTTTAAATGGTGATTTTGATTTAATAATTATTTGGTTGATGGATTTGAATATTCTTATGCGTATTGGCCATATATTTTAAATATGGATATATTTGAGTATGAGGAATATGTTTATATGAATTTTGGAATGTCTATCTATATTGCCTATGTATAGAGTATGAGAGGTTGTTGTGGTGAGATTGTGGAAAGATATGAGTTTTAGGGATGGTTGTGAGATGTATGAGTATGTTAGGTGAGTACCATTCCCCGGTTACTAGGCTTCCCACACACGTCGTTGGCAGTGCCGGTTGGGTGGGAAGGCCATGAGATTGAGGGTCTCACACATGTCGTTGGCAGTGCTGGTGTGTGAGACACTTCCCACGTGTCGTTGGCAGTGCCGGCGTATGGGAAGAGTATGTATATTGATTAGTATTATCACACACGTCGTTGGTAGTGCCGGTGGGGTGATGATACTGTCTGCGCTCGTAGGACTTGTTATGAGATTTGTGAGCTTCACGTGTCGTTGGCAGTGCCGGCGTGTGAGCTATGGAGTTTCGTCCCCTGGTTGGACTACTCATCCCTGGACGCGGGTTAGTGCTCGGAAATCCTGCGTACTAGCCAAACAATCCCCCGGTTGGATTGTTTTCCCCGGTACATTAGTATGGAGAGAAGTATACGTTATATTATAGATATATATATACATATATATGTATACCTATGTATGGGTTGGTGAGAGTTGCATATCTTTGGGAATGGACTTGTGATTTGAGATTTGGAGATTTATTGGATTTTGGGATAATGTGTTTTGAGTTTTTGGTTTCTGAATTGTGGAACTGCATGCTAGAGCACTATTTTTACATGGTGGGGGTTATTATGTTGATTTAAAATGTAAACTTTATTTTTGTCCACTCACATATTTCTGTTTTGCGCCCCCCCAGGCAGTAGTTGCTTTTGGAAGCGTTCGAGCAGGTTGCGAGTTCCAAACATTTCATCCGTAGATAGGACTTGTGTAAATTCCTTCTACTCAACTGTTTGTTATAAACAAATCCTGTTAGATGCTTTGTTATCGCCCATGTTAGGTTGTTACTTGAGGCCGGAGGCCACTTTATTTTGGATTGTTGTATGTTAAAAGCATGCTGGCAGTTGGGATTTATTTTATGTAAACTATGCAGGTTAAATATTGTTGGGTTTGAGCATTTTACAGGGGAGACTATGCCAAAATTTTGGTAGGATGTCTCGGGTTTTTAGTAAGTGGGCCCGGCATCGAGGAGATGTCGGCACCAAGACGGGGTCCGCCCCGGTTTCAGAGGAAATTCTGGGGCGGGTCCTGTCAGCTTGGTATCAGAGCATTAGGTTCATTTTCCTTCGACTTTTGCACTTTTGCTGCATTGTTGATCTAATGATTTTATGGTTTCTTTGTGTAGAACCATGTCAACTCGCCGACCAAGAACGCGAGGTCATGGTCAGAGATGGGGGCCAAATCCTCCACCACCATCTCCGTCGCCATCTCCACCTGCCGGAGATAATGCCTCGGACTTGCGCCATGTGCTAAGCCAATTCACCCGCACAATGACTACTGCTTTGCGGGGAAGGCGTAGTACAGAAAGTTCTGAAATCAAAAGGGTGAAGGAACTTGGAGCAAAAGAGTTCATGGGTGGCCCAGACCCAGCAGAGGCTGAGTGTTGGATTACTGATGTGGAGCGGAGCTTTGAGGTGCTGGAGTGCCCAGATGGAGATAGAGTCCGTTTGGCTACCTTTCTGCTTAAAGGGAATGCTTATCATTGGTGGAAAGCTGCAAAAAGGGGCTATGAGAATCCAGCTGCTATTACTTGGGAGGAATTTCATAGGGTTTTCTCCGATCAATTTTATCCACCTTCTTACCGATATGCTAAGAAGTCAGAGTTCCTATATCTGAAGCAGGGATCAATGTCGGTGGCAGAGTATGAACATAAGTATAATGAACTGTCAAGGTTTGCACCAGAGTTAGTGGCTACTGAAGAGGATCGGTGCAGACGCTTTGAAGGCGGTTTGTGGTGGGATATTCAGGCCGTGGTCACTGCCAACACTTATCCCAACATGACGGCTTTGGCTCAGGCTGCTAACAGAGTATCTAGGACATGTGCTATGGGTACAGGTAGACGCCGCAGAGATGCGCAAGGATAGGGTGGTCCGAGTCAGGGCCCATCCAAGAGAGGAGGATCTAATTCTAGCTCTGCTAGTGGTGGATGGTCAAGTGGACGGGGATCCAGTTCTGGTAGTAGGAGATTCAGTTCTCGTCCAGCATGGACTCAGTATTCAGAGCTGCAGCCTGCATCTAGCACAGCTAGGACTCCCTCCAAGCAGACTGGGTTGACATGCTACAGTTGCGGGCAGGTGGGGCACTTTGCAAAGGATTGCCCTAGTTCCACTCAATGAGGTAAACAAAGCCTAAGCAGCGGCCCAATATGCTACTTTTGTGGACAGGCGGGGCATACTAAGAGGACCTGCCCACTGATCTACCCCAGTGATACACCAGTGCAGGGGACCGGAGCCCAACAGGGGCAGGGGAATATGGGTCAGCATCAGAGTCAGAGTGGTGCTACTTCCTCTGCAGCAGGATCTTCTAGTAGCAGGGCACCGTCATCTTCTAGGGGAAGAGGTGGCAGAAATTCAAGGGGTCAGCCTGGGCGTTCTACCACTCAGGCTAGGGCGTTCTACCACTCAGGCTAGGGTGTTCTCTATGACCCAGCAGGAGGCACATGCCACTCCAGACGTGATTACTGGTATGATCCCGATTTTTGGTTATCTTGCTGGTGTTTTAATTGACCCGGGGGCCACACATTCTTTCGTAGCACACAACTTCGTACCTTATGTCAGTGTGAGACCGACACCCATGACAGGAAGTTTTAGTATTTCTCTACCCACAGGGGGAAGTCTTGTATGCGGACCGGGTATTCAGAGAATGTTATGTTCAAGTAGACGATGCGTGGTTGGAAGCCAATTTGATTCCTTTAGAATTGGTGGATTTGGATATTATTTTGGGGATGGATTGGCTAGAGAAGCATCATGCGTCCGTGGATTGTTTCCGGAAGGAAGTGACACTCCGGAGTCCAGGACAACCTAAAGTGATTTTCCGGGGAGAACGTAGAATCCTCCCTACTTGCCTTATCTCTGCTATTACAGCTAAGAGGTTACTCAAGAAAGGGTGTGAAGGATTCCTAGCTCATATCATCGACACTCGAGAGATCACCTTGAATCTGGAAGATATTCCCGTTGTTAGTGAGTTTCCTGATGTCTTTCCAGATGATCTTCTTGGGTTACCTCCTGAAAGGGAAATCGAGTTTACTATTGAACTTCTTCCAGGCACCAATCCTATCTATCTAACTCCTTATAGGATGGCACCAGCTGAGCTCCGGGAGTTGAAGATTCAGTTGCAGGAATTAGTGGATATGGGTTTCATCCGACCTAGTGTTTCCCCATGGGGTGCACCGGTGTTGTTTGTGAGGAAGAAGGATGGGACCACGAGGTTATGTATTGATTACCGGCAGTTGAATAAGGTGACAGTACGTAACCGGTATCCTTTGCCTCAGATTGATGATTTGTTTGATCAGTTGAAAGATGCCAAGTATTTCTCTAAGATTGATATGAGGTCAGGGATACCATCAGTTGAGGATTAGAGAAGAGGATGTCCCCAAGACCGCATTCAGAACGCGGTATGGTCATTATGAATTTCTGGTGATGCTGTTCGGACTGACGAATGCTCCAGCAGTATTTATGGATCTCATGAACAGAGTGTTCCGACCATACTTGGATCACTTTGTGATTGTGTTCATAGATGATATCTTGGTTTACTCTAAGACTTTGGAAGGGCATAAGAAGCATCTAAGGTTGGTATTGAGGACTTTAAGGAGGAAGCAACTTTATGCCAAATTTAGCAAGTGTTAGTTTTGGTTGGATAAAGTGGTATTCCTTGGACATGTAATCTCAATGAAGGGATTTATGTGGACCCACAGAAAGTTGAGACTATTGTAAATTGGGTACAACCCACAAGTGTGACGGAAGTACGGAGTTTTCTGGGGTTAGCAGGTTACTATCGTCGATTTGTGGAAGGGTTCTCTTCGATAGCAACACCTCTCACGCAGTTGACAAGGAAGGAGGTTGCATTTGAGTGGACGGAGGAGTGCGAACAGAGTTTTCAGGAGTTGAAGAAGCGGTTGACCACCGCACATGTTTTGACTCTTCCTGATAACTCGGGGGGCTTCGTGATCTATAGTGATGCATCTTTGCAAGGATTGGGATGTGTTCTGATGCAACATAATCGGGTGATTGCTTATGCCTTGAGGCAACTCAAAAAGCATGAGCGAAATTATCCAGTCCATGATTTGGAACTTGCTGCAGTGGTGTTTGCTTTGAAAATTTGGCGGCATTACTTGTATGGCGAGACATGTCAGATTTTCACGGATCACAAGAGCCTCAAGTATTTCTTTACCCAGAAGGAGCTGAATACGAGACAACGGCGTTGGCTGGAATTGATCAAGGACTATGATTGTACGATTGAGTATCACCTAGGCCGAGCTAATGTGGTTGCAGATGCATTGAGTAGGAAGACTACTGCAAACTTAGCTCATATTAGGACGGCCTATCTTCCGTTGTTGGTGGAACTACGGAAGGATGGAGTAGAAATGGAGATGACTCAACAAGGTGGAATCCTTGCTAACTTGCATGTGATACCCATTATGGTGGAGCGAGTAATTGCAGGCCAGTTGGAAGATCCTACACTCTGTAGGATAGGGGGAGAAGTAGAAAATGGAACACGGAAGGATTATGCCATAAGGGGAGACGGAGCCTTGGTAAAAGGAGCTCGTCTATGTGTACCTAGTAAGAATGCTGAGTTGAAAAGAGAAATCATGGAGGAAGCTCACTGTTCCACGTACATTATGCATCCGGGTAGCACGAAGATGTATCGGACGCTATGGGCATATTATTCATGGCCGCATATGAAGGGAGACATTGCCAAGTATGTGAGTAGATGCTTGATTTGTCAACAAGTGAAGGCGGAGCGACAGAAGCCATCGGGACTCATGCAACCACTTCAGATTCCTGAATGGAAGTGGGAGCGTATTGCCATGGATTTTGTTTTCAAGCTTCCACGTACTTCAAAGGATCATGATGGAATTTGGGTGATAGTGGATAGACTCACCAAGTCTGCTCATTTCTTAGACCTATCCTTTGACAAAGTTGGCAAAACTTTTTGTGGATGAGATTGTGAGGTTGCATGGAGCACCTGTGTCCATTGTATCGGACAGGGATCCTAGGTTCACTTCTCGATTTTGGAGGTGTTTACAAGAAGCTATGGGTACTAGATTGCAGTTCAGTACCGCTTTTCACCCATAAACCGATGGACAATCAGAAAGAACTATCCAGACTCTGGAGGACATGTTGAGGTCCTGTGTGTTACAGTTTAAGGATGCATGGGATGTTCACCTTGCCTTGGTGGAGTTTGCTTATAATAACAGTTATCATTCGAGTATTGGGATGGCTCCTTATGAGGCGTTGTATGAGAGGCAGTGCAGGACTCCTATTTGTTGGAATGAAGTGGGTGACAAGAAACTGGAAAAAGTGGATAGTATCCGGGTAACAAATGAGAAGGTGAAGGTGATAAAGAGAAGTTGAAAACTTCACAAGACCGACAGAAGAGTTATGCAGATAACAGGTCTAAGGATCTTGAGTTTGCAGTTGGGGATTGGGTGTTCCTGAAGTTATCTCCATGGAAGGGTGTGATGAGATTTGGGAAACGTGGGAAGTTAAGCCCTCGTTATATTGGACCCTATGAGATTACGGAGCGAATTGGACCTGTTGCTTATAGACTTGCTTTACCCCCAGAACTATCTCGAGTTCATGATGTATTCCATGTATCCATGCTCTGGAAATACATGCCAGACCCTTCTCATGTATTAGAATATCAACCTATGGAGTTAGAAGAAGATTTGTCGTATGAGGAACAACCAGTACAGATCTTGGATAGGAAAGAACAAAGGTTGCGTTCTAGATCCATCTCGGTAGTGAAAGTTTTGTGGAGAAGCCAAACTGTTGAAGAAGCTACTTGGGAACCCGAAGAGCAGATGCGGGCTAAGTACCCTTATCTCTTCCATTGACAGGTATGTGAATTTCGGGGACGAAATTTTTATAAGGGGGGTAGATTGTAACACCCCGACTCCGATTATTTTCCTATTTTAATTAAATTAAGAGAAATTATTAATTTACTCTTGGATTAAGGGTAATTTTGGTCATTTTCTGATCCGAGAAGATTTTGGGACCACGAGTGGTTTGGTTGCGTAGGTGGTACTGAGACGAAACCGTAGACAGGCGGTAGTCTTGAATCGGAGATTTAATGAAGTTTTGGCGATCAAAATAAGCTCGATGGCGGAACCGTAATTAATTTGAAAAGAGTTTGGGGTAAAATCAGATTTTTCACTTTTACCCCTCACTGTCTCTCTCTCTCTCTCTCTCTCTCTCTCTCTCTCTCTCTCTCCCGCGTCTCCTCCCTCTGCGTGCGACAGCTCTCCTCCGTCACTGTACAAACCGAACGGAAACCACCGTGCCGCCGCCGCCACAGTCAACGACCGCCCTCGAGACCGGTCCCGTTTGACTCGTTGTGAAGTCCCGATCAAAACCCACCTGTTATCCCGACTGGAAAGCTCGAAGTCTGGCCACGATATTGACTGGTTCAAACCGGAGGTTTTCGCGCTATTGCACCGCCGTCTCCGCCGTCCATTTCCGGTGAACCTGGTGAGGTTTCTTCTCCTTTTTACGTGTTCTAGCTGACTGTTGCTTAGGTTTGGATCGATGTTGATTTTGGGAACCGAATTGGAAACCTTGGTTTTGGCCGGTTTTCAATTTGAAGTTCCGGCCAGTTCCCGTGTGAATTGCACCTCGTGGTAGTTGAATAAAGTGATCCTGACCTTGAGAAGAAGCTAGGGTAGGAAGGGTGAGCGTTGGTGTGGAGATTTTCCGTCGCCGGAAATTTCTCTACACGCCCACGCGCTGCTGGCGCGGGTGGCGACGCGTGGGCAAGGCTGGTGAAGTTGCTTTTTATCTTGATGAGATCCTTAGGTTGCCACGAGTGCGTAGGATTTTGCGGATCTCAATTTGGAACCGGACCTTAGGATATTCCATTGGACGTACACGCACCGGGAACTTGGGGATTTAAGTAATTCCTTTTGTGAATTTCTAATTTTGGAAGTGCGTTATTTTAATCAAGAGTTCGTATATCGAAATAGGTACTTCGGTCGATCATTCGCAGCAGGCAGGACCCTCTCGGGGCCGGGCAGCTTGGGATTATTTGTGAGTGGACTTTGTTTTAAGCATATGCATGGTTTTATTGATAAAAGATTTGTGCATATATTTTAAATGGTGATTTTGATTTAATAATTATTTGGTTGATTGATTTGAATATTCTTATGCGTATTGGCCATATATTTTAAATATGGATATATTTGAGTATGAGGAATATGTTTATATGAATTTTGGAGCGTAGGACTTGTTATGAGATTTGTGAGCTACACGTGTCGTTGGCAATGCCGGAGTGTGAGCTATGGAGTTCTGTCCCCTGGTTGGACTACTCATCCTTGGACGCGGGTTAGTGCTCGGAAATCCTGCGTACCAGCCAAACAATCCCCAGTTGGATTGTTTTCCCCGGTACATTAGTATGGAGAGAAGTATACGTTATATTATAGATATATATACATATATATGTATACCTATGTATGGGTTGGTGAGAGTTGCATATCTTTGGGAATGGACTTGTGATTTGAGATTTGGAGATTTATTGGATTTTGGGATAATGTGTTTTGAGTTTTTGGTTTCTGAATTGTGAAACTGCATGCTAGAGCACTATTTTTACATGGTGGGGTTATTATGTTGATTTAAAATGTAAACTTTATTTTTGTCCACTCACATATTTCTGTTTTGCGCCCCCCAGGCAGTAGTTGCTTTTGGAAGCGTTCGAGCAGGTTGCAAGTTCCAAACATTTCATCCGTAGATAGGACTTGTGTAAATTCCTTCTACTCAATTGTTTGTTATAAACAAATCCTGTTAGATGCTCTGTTATCGCCCATGTTAGGTTGTTACTTGAGGCCGGAGGCCACTTTATTTTGGATTGTTGTATGTTAAAAGCATGCTGGCAGTTGGGATTTATTTTATGTAAATTATGCAGGTTAAATATTGTTGGGTTTGAGCATTTTACAGGGGAGACTCTGCCAAAATTTTGGTAAGATGTCTCGGGTTTTTAGTAAGTGAGCCCGGCATCGGGGAGATGTTGGCACCAAGACGGGGTCCCCCCCGATTTCAGAGGAAATTCTGGGGCGGGCCCTGTCACCGTATCCAGGCAAGACTTGAACTCCATGAAGGCCTCGGCCGTGGTCATTTCGTGGACTCCCAAGAAGAGGAACTCTCGGAGCCGTTCAACAGCGGCCCTAGAATGCGCGACTAGAGGGTCCGAAACCGAGCTACATCCCTCCTCGTGAAGGCTGGCGTCCATTTCGGCGAGGTCATCTGAGGTGGCGAGCTCCTAAAAAAAAGAAAAAAAAGAGAGAGTTAAATGTTTGAAAAGGCAGGAAAAAGTCATAGGCACTACGAGGAGAGACTCAACTCAGCGGCTGGTGGCATGACCTTTGACTCCAGAGATAAAGACGGTTGCGGCATGGACATGCTGACCGAGGCGGTTGGAGTTAAAATCGGAGTGGCGGTGGCCAGGGGCTCAACGACCGCAATATCATCCTCGGCCAATGGTTCCTGAGTCATGGCCACCGCAGTCGAGACAACGGCCACAGTCACAGGCAAGGACGCTCTGGGGGGTTGCAAACGAAAATCGAAAGTTAGAAAAACCCAAGTGAGAAAAGGAGACTGACACGCTAAATAAACGCTTACCAAGTGGATAACAATGCAGCTGGGACGACGGGGAGTGACCGGCGACGGCCCGACTGGGACCATGGCAGCCAACGAAGGCACGGCTGCTACCGCAAATGGGGGCCCGGTCAAGGCCGCTAAAGTCGATTCTGCAGCACTTGGCACCTCTACAGCTGCTACCTCGGAGCTTGGCACCTCTGCAACCACCATTTCGACTGTTGTAGCCTCCGCCTCACCAGCCGTGGCCTCAGCTACGGCCGCCTCACCAGTTGTTGCCTTAGTGACTATCCCTTCGCCAATTGCCACCTTGATAACGGCCGCCTCGGTACCCAACGCCTCGGCAATGGTTTCCTCGACCACCGATGCCTCTGCAGCAACGACTTCAGCATCCACCGCCACGCCCTGCAAGAAAAGCTAAATCAACAAATATAAAAAGGCGGCATGAGGCAGATAGGAAGAAACCAAGGGGGGAATACTTACAGCCACAGGAAGGACTTCCTCCTCGTCCTCGCCTTCTGAAAGGATGAGGAGGACCCTTTTTCTCGGTGGCTCTGGCACCTCCACTTCGGCCGCGGCACTCCCCACTGGCACGGCCTCAGCAGTCGTGGTTTCGGTAATAGCGGCCTCCCTACTCCTCTTATGGCCTAGGGCTTCAAGAGATAAAACGAAGTTAGCCACGAAGCTCAGAAAGATGGAAGAAAGAATACGAGGAAACCAATACTCACCAGCAGCAGGGCTCGGTTGAACCAGTGGAGGGGATGGCACGGTCCTGTGCGCCAAGGTCCTTCACGCCCCCACCACGATTGTCGCCCTGGAGGATGGGGGTCGCGGTTGAAGCCAAGACCATCTCTACACCGAAGTTATTGCAGAAGCTAGAGTAGTTAAGCTTGTTCTTCGCCTTGCTCCCAACCAGTCTCGTGAGCGTGGGCCACGTGGCTTTGAAACTCCCTACGGCCTCAGAAGCAACCAGCGCAGCATTCACCTCCACGCCAAGAGGAGAAAGGCCGAATACAGCGGCCATGTCAAGCACGGTCGACGTCATCATGTCGAACCGTAGATTCATTGTATTTGTGGACGTGGACCAGAAACTGAGTGCCGCGGCCAACAACGACTGATCCATGACAATCGACCGGTCAAAGAGCTTGATCAGGTGGTAGATCCCCTGAGCCTTCCATTGCTGGTCGAAGAAGTGCTCCATCCTCGGCAACCACTTTTCCCAGTCTGGGGTCGAGGTCGGCCATTGCTGCTGCGGCCGTATGACATTCCAGTCTTGGTAGTCTCTCTGATCGAAAGCAGAAAGATTCACCAAATTGTCCTTCAAATGAACAGCCAGCCTCTCTGGCATTCCCCCTTCCACGGAGGGGCCGAGGAGGCAAGAGTCATTGGAAACATCGTCATCATCCGCCTAAGGCGCGACAATGTCAGGTAGAACCGAGCCTTGGGCTTCTCGGCAGATGTCTTCGAAGACAGTCTGGAAGACCTGGGACCGAGCTTCAACGGATGCAGAAGTACTGGAGGCCATTAAGACAGATTGAAGTAGAGTGTGTTGAAGAAAAAGTTGAAGAAAGGTGATGAACACGAAGAGCACCAGAAGAAACGAGTAAAATCGTTGGTTACTAACGAGTGGATAACTGGGCAGAACGAGATGGAGTGCTGAGATTTGGAGTTTTAAAAGGGTTGATGGATTGAGGAAATAGTTTGGCAGAGTTTGGGCATTTGAGGATTCTGAAAGCGTAAAGGAGAATGAAGAAGTAACGGCCTAATAGCATGTTCGAGTGCACGATGACGTGTCGGAAGCCCAGAAGCTGTCGTTTCATTTGACGAGATGAAACGACGGCTCGCGCAAGTCTGGGCAATGATGGCCTGCAAGACGTGCTTGCGCATTAAATGCGCCGACTGACCTACGCATTTAAGGCGACAACTGTCAATCACTTCAGGAGGAATGAAAAAGATCCATCCCTTGGAATCCATTCGACCTCTGCCCAGGCCGCGACTAAAGAATCCAGGGACGTGGGGGCAATGTTTGTGCCCAATAAATCACGGTCATAAACTGACTAAAGGGACTTCCTCTCGGCCCTAGCACCTACTCATGAACTGAAACGGCCACGTTCCGTTAGGCATTTCGCCTTCCTGAAAACAAAAGACAAGCTGCAAAGGCAGAATCCTCTCGGTCTGGCAACCGCAGTATTATAGGCCGAAGCCAAAGGCCGTAAAAGACATGGCCAAAGATACTGTGGTTAAATCGCCACGTGGCCTCAGGGTCCCACGCCCCATTTAATGAAGTAATGCCTTTGACTATCGCAACAAACCCACTAGTCGCAAGAAGCATTTAATGCACGAGGGAAGAAGGGAAGTGACTGAAGTCAGGATTTGGTGATGGAAATCAGAGTGGTTAGGCGCAAACATTCTCACAAGTATTCTTACAACTTGAGGTCAGATCACCAACCACCAGACCAGGGCATTAAATGCGTTCCCACGGCCAAGGGGCCAGAACCCACGATCAGGGCGGTAGCCAAGATTTACCAGGATTTATGGGGTCACACCACCATGCTTCACGATTCCAAATGCCGATTTGACTACCCACTTGCCCCGATTAGGGTCCACCACATAGATCTTTTCAGCCTCGATTGTCCCTCTAGGACTTCCCCCTATAAATACTAAGCTCAAGACTACATTCAAGGGGTTCAAACACCAAACCAAAAGCCTTCCACGGAGCAAATTATATTTTCTGTCATGCACTTTCAATACCTTTATTTGCTTTCCTAGGAGTAATGGTAGATTGTAAGGAAAATCCATTCATCAATATATCATACGACCCTTGATTTTCAAGGAGCCGGAGCACCATCTCTGTTATCATCTCATTCACCCCATATATCATACGACCGTCGCTCTCTGAGCAACGCGCTAGAGCACCGCCTAAAACCTGCCACCAACACCACCACTGAACGGCCTTGTAGCTCAGGCCGTGAACCTGACGGCCGAGATCAGTTCCTCTCTCGGCCACAATCGTTTGATTAGGAGTCGAACTTAAAACAGGCAACCATCTTCTACCCAAACCTCATCACCATCTCGACGCACGATAGACCGTGCTGGCACGCCTGTGCACAACCGCACCGCATCCAAAAGAAGGACGTCACGTGTTAACGCACCAGGCCGTGAGATTTGCGCAGCCAACAGTCATCAATGTCCAACTTGATAAGTGAGTCATAAAACACTCATCCAGAGATGACCTATGTCAAGACATCCGCTAACTAATATTCTGATTTTACAAAAGGTAGTGACTAAGTATCCTAGGAATCAGCTGGACGAGACTCCAAATGTGCATTTGCTTGGATTCAAAGGCAAGGTTCTTAATGTGATCTGCTCGCTGGGGAGTTTTGACTAGCATGTTGTCTACGTAGACCTCCATTGTCTTGCCAATTTACCCCTTGAAAATTTTGTTTACTAGCCTTTGGTAGGTTGCTTTGGCGTTCTTCAGCCCAAAGGGCATGACCTTGTAACAATAGGTCCCTCTCTCGATGATGAAAGAAGTCTTTGCCTTGGCATCCTCATGCATCATGATTTGATTATAGCCGGAGTAGGAGTCTATGAAGTTCAGTAGTTGATTGCCAGAGGTTGAATCCATGAGCTGGTCGATTCTTTGATTGCTATTGGAGAGTAGTTATTCCCTTTCCTCTCTAGACTGCTCGATAGTCAGGATCGGGATCTACTTTCTCCTCTGCTCGTTCTACTCCCTTCAGATATGCTTGATTCATAGGGAGGAACCGTGTTCACTTGCTTCTCTTTAGCCCTTGAGCTGAACATTTCCTTGCCATTGCCTGATCGCTATTGATTTGGCTGACACCGCCCTTAGGGATCGGGTAACGGATTTCTGATGCATGGCGGAGGTGATGGCGTTGATCTTGCCAATCCATGAAGGCCTGTGAGCTGACTACTGGTGGAGAGTAGAAGTCGAGGTCTATCGTGCCCACGGTAACCGTTGTTGCGCCATTAAAGCCGGTTAGCTACTTAGCTAATTTGTTGATCTTTGTCTCCAAGCCCATCTGTTGGATGACCGCAAACTGCAGGATGTTGGCTACGCTGCCCTCGTCTGCGTGGACTTGATTGACCAAGGCCTAAGCGATTTGGATGCTGTTGGGTAGGGCGTCGTTGTGTGGTAGATCGAGGCCAATTAAATCTTTCTTTTTGAAGCCAATCATGAGATCGTCTTCTGCCAGTGGGAGGCTAGTCGAGATTTGGGAGATCACAGTGGCCTGTTTGATCTTCCTCTTCATTTCTTACTGGTCAACCTGGACTCCTCGAAGTCGGCCAGGATAGTGTTAATCCTTATGACCTTCAAGGGTGGCTCCTTGGCGGTATCGCGATCCTCATCAGTTCTTCGATGTGATTTTTCTAGGCAAAGCAACCATTCATGTAATGACCATATCCTCCATGTAAGGCATAGTACTTATGGGCATTCTTCTTATCTAGGTCCTCTCTTAGAGGTGGTGGTCTCCTTACCCAAGGTTTGTATTTCACTTGGGCTAAGATTTGATGTATGGAGATGGAAAACTTAGTGAAGTTGTCATCTGTCCAGGGGTCTCCTTGGGACTTGCGCTTGGCACTGTTCTTGTTGCTGAATTTGTCGCCTCTCTAACTTGCATGTTTGGCTAGTTAGTCAGCTTTCCTGGTAGACTTCTTTTCAGAGATTCTGTCGTCATCCCAGACGGCGGTCGCGAAGACCTCTGCTAGAGTCTGGCTAGGAGCAATGGTTAGCTCGCGATATAAGTCAAGCTCGGCTGGCAAGCCCTTCTTGAAGGCAGAGGACTCAACTTGATCATTACATCCTACAATGTTTGCCCTCTCTACCTTGAACCTCTTGATGTAGTCTCAAAGGGATTCATCGGACTTCTTGTACATGTTGAACAGATGGTCATGATTCTTCTTGATCGTCCGGTAAGATGTGTATTCTTGAGTGAAGATGCAAGCAATGTCCTTAAAGCTGCTGATTGACCCGGATGGTAAGGTGTGGAACCAATCTTGGGTTGCTCTTTACAAAGTCATGACAAACACTTTGCACATCAGCGCGTCGTCAGCCTTATAGAGAATCATAACACTTTTGAAGTATTTCAGATGACTCTCGGGAATGGAATCCACTTTGAAGTGTGTCAACGAAGGCATTGAGAATCGCTTTGGGGGAGCAACCTGCTTGATTTTTGCCGTGAATGGTTAGAAGTTTGCTTAGTCCATTTCCTTGCATGGAACATCTTCGAAACCTTCTCCAATCTTTAAATCTCAGACCCGGTTGTTCACAAGTTTCTCGACGTCATCTGTGAGCATGGCTTTTGGGTCACGTGGGTAACCTCCATGATTTGGGCGGCGATGGTTGACTTCCTTGTTAGTTGGCAAAGGTTGACCTACTTGGTTGTCTTGCCTTTGGGCCAGATTAGTAGATAGAGCTTGCGAGGATTCCTCCACGGCTTATCATCGTGAGTTGTTTCTCGAGCGGGGTTGTGAGCATCAGTCGTTGTGCTCGTCACGTAATTATTCATGAACTCGCGTTCCTTGTGGGCACAACCTAGACCTCTTGTGAGCCCAAGCAAGCATGGACATTGGACTGTGGGCCTAACCTCTCATGCTTGGATCTAACCTCAAACAGATTGTCGATCGGCTTAGAGTGCGGCTTGCAGATGTATGTGTCTTGTCTGTACGATCTCGTTCTCTCCCCTGTTCGTTTGTCTCTGTCCGACCAGTCTCGGGCATCCTTATTTCCTCATCCCAGGATCCAAGGTCAGGGCCTTGATTCAAGTTGATCTGCCTAAGTAACTGGCCAATTAGATTGTTTTGGTCATTAACCCTTTATATGAGTTGATCAACCCGTGAGTTAAGGTCCACTTGACTTCGCGAGTAGGGGAGAGAGGTGTGGATAAAGCCCATCGGCATATGGGCTAAGGCTCCATTAGAAGTGTACATGGGTACATACATCAAGTGCAGTTACAAAGGGAGGATCGAATAAATTTTCTTTAAGATTGGGGAATGGCTCTAAAAGGCGGTACCGCCTTGGGTGGCGGCGTTGGTGCCTAGCCCTTGTGGTTGCACGATGGAGGAGGTCGTGTAGCTGTGCTGCAATTGCAGCAGCCAAATGCCATAGCTGTGGCTACGTTTCGGTTGTTACCTCGGCTGTTTGGAGCTGTTTTGAAGCTCTCGGAGGCGGTTGGACGACATGGGTACCCACGGGGGGCTGCTGGAACTCGTTGACAGCTATGGAGGTTGCTGGAACTCATCGCAGAGTTGCTGGAACGCTCTGGTAGCCACGGGAGGCTGTTAGAACTCGCCAAGGAGCTGCTGGAACTAAGGGTGGGCATTAAAATTGGCAAGCTGAAAAGCCGAGCCGAACCGCACCGGAAAAAAAAACTGAAAAAAAACATAGTTGACCAAAAAGTCAACAACCCGTCAAAAACTGAACTGGATCGATTTGGACTGGTTTTGGTTTCGGTTCTATGTCTTCAAAAATCAAACCAGGGCGAACCGAACCGGTCAAATTAAAATATATATAATTTCAATATTTATTTATATTCAATGCTATTTTTTTAATCTCACAACTAATATTTAATCAAGTTCAATTTCAAAACATCTCTCTTCTAGCTTTAATATTTATTTTTATATGAAATTGAATAATTTATTAATTTTCAAGTAAAATAAAATAAAATTTCAGTTGAAAATTGTATTAAAAAATAATAATTTTAATAATCCGGTTCAAAACCGAACTGGATAGTTTTTGAATTTTTTTTTATTAAAATCGAACCAAACCAAATCAGATGAATAGTACCGAATCGGTTCTAATTAGAGACAAAAATCGGTCCAAATTGAACCGTGCCCACCCCCATCTGGAACGTGCTTGCAGCCATGGGAGGCTGCTAGATAGCGCTGGTAGCCACTGTCCCATGCAGTTGCAGCGACCACGAAACCATGAGACGGGCCTGTTGTGGTGGTGTTACTCTTCGTAGGTCTTGTATCAACCATGGTTGATTGAAACAAAGTGTGGAAAAAGCACGCTTTGAGTATTATTTCGCGCTCTCAATGAAAGCACCAATTTGTGGGAGTGATTTTCGTCCCTTAGAATATTCGATCAATAGATTCCCTTTATCCTTCCTCAATGCCTAAGTTAGTTCGAATGATTCGTAGAGAAACAATAGCTAAAAAGGGTACGGAGCTCTCACGAGGAGAGAACCGGGTGGCTGGAGTCGTGTGTGGTGACCAGAGCCTGTGTGAAGAGAGAGAGAGAGAGAGAGAGAGAGGGGGGGGGGGGGGGGGGGGGGGGGGGGGGGGGGGGGGGGGGGCAGCCGGCAGCAAGGGGGGGAATTTTTGCAGTAGTTTGAGAGGGTAGAATGGCTTACCTCATGCCTTGCATAGCCTCGTATTTATAGAGCCTCGTAGGGCTAGGGTTTGGAGAAAAATAATCCTTGTTGGGAAAGGAATTATTTTTCCTGATTTTTGGTGGTTTAAATCAATTAGGGATTTAATGAGGATCAAATCCCTAATTCAACGCAAGAATCCCCAAATCCCCCAAATGGAAGGAAATATTTCACCTAGGATTTTGCTAAAATTCAGTTCCCACCGATCACGGACTGGTGGCCTCCTTATCCAGAATGAGATGCGTGGCCTCGAAGTTAAGCACAAAGAACAATGGGTGTTGGTGAATGCTTCTCCGGGAGCTTTTATTGTTAACATTGGGGACCAAATGCTGGCACCAAAATAACACCCAACTTTTTTAAATCTTTTTTACCCATTTTGATGTAGTTTCTGTGATGATAGGGTAAAGTTCCCCATTGACCTGAAATCCATTGATGGTCAACAAGTCAACTTTCTTTTGTGTGCAAGCATGCCACTATTAATGGTTAAAAACCCTAACAAGCTTATGAAAAATAATAACTTGCACCCCAAGCTATTAACTTTGATAAGATGATTGTGAATTTGGGTGAGGAATATCTCCCAAGTAAGTTCTTTTCTTCCCTCAGACGGGTAGTAACACTGGTAAATCTAACCAAAAATGAATGTTGAAAATAAATCAAACTAGTTCAAAAAGAATTCTCTGTTACACAATTTAAACAATGGAGAAATGCCAAGTCCAGAAGAAGATCAGAACATTGGGCTTCAAGTTTGAGTTATGCCTGTTTTGCTAGAGGCTTCAAGTTTTCATGATGATCAGTTTTGATCCTCTGACAAGCAACTCTCTTATTTCTTGTTTGTCTCTTGTAAACCAAGTTTGTACTGACAAGACCCTCACGAGTATGGGAATTTTTTTTTTTTTCTTTTTTCTATTTAGCATGAGTGGTTTTTTATTTCACCTTTCTACCAACTCCCCTACATGTCCTCTGCCATTTTTCTGTTGACGTCTTGTCATTGGGGTCACTTGGGCATTATGGAGAGAAAAATTCTCCGCTTTATCTGCTGATTTGATCTTTGAATTAGTGATCAACATTGATGATCAAACCTTGAGCCCTTGAAAAAAAATCCAGAAGCTTTAATTAAACCAATTAACTCTGGCTTTTTCATATTAAATCACCATTAATGGTAATTAACTTTTAACCTATGAAAAGCTATGTTTGCAATTGGTTTGAAATGGCCCGGGCTTCTAAAACATCCTGGGCTGACTTCCAATTTTGGTAAAAAAGGCCCAAATCCCTGTCGTTGATATGGCCCAGTACCTAGGTGGGCTAGCACGCGGAAATTGGGACCAAACAAATCTAAAACCCATGTTATCTAAGAATTACAATCTAATGATACCGATTATTTGGTACAAGAGCATGGGTTATTTTCATAAATTAATGGTACCGATTATTTGTGTATGGTTAATTTTTGTGGCAAATTTTGACAAACAACAAGTACAAGAGCATGTGGCATAGAGCTGTTGTGAACAACAAAGCTACAAGGATATCAATAGTTGTGCCCTATGGACCGTCACTGGACACACCAGCTTAACCAATCCCAGAGTTGTTAGAGAGAGAAGGTCCAGCACCAAAATACATTGGGATGACATATGAGACATTCATGGAGGTTTAAGAAAGCCCTACTGCCTACGTGAAGCCTTGCTTAGATCACCTCCGAATCTAGGCTATCTCGATCGACGACCAAAATAAGAGTTGCAGATTTCTTTCCGTTTTGGTCTTTGTTTGTGCCTAATAAATCACGGTCATGAAGTGATTGAAGGGACTTCCCTTCGACCCTGGCACCTACCGTTTCGTCAAGCATTTCGCCTTCCTAAGAACAAAAGAAAAGCTACAAAGGCAGAATCCTCTCGGCCTTGAGACCGCATTATTGAAGGCCGAGGCCAAAGGCCGAGGCCAAAGGCCGTAAAAGACACGGCTTAAAAAAGCTATGGTTGAATCGCCACGTGGCCTCAGGGCCCCACGCTCCATTTAATGAAGTAATGCCTCTGACTTCGCAGCAAACCCATTAGTCACAAGAAGCATTTAATGCATAAGGGAAGTGACTGAAGTCAGGATTTGGTGATGGAAATCAGGGTGGTTAGGCGCAGACATTCTACAAGTAATCTTACGACTTAAGGTCAGATCACCAACCACCAGACCAGGGCATTAAATGCGTTCCCACGGCCAAGGGGGCAGAGTCCATGATCAGGGCGGTGGCCGAGATTTACCGAGATTTATGGGAGTCACACCACCATGCTTCTCAACCCCAAACCGCCATGCTTCACAATCCCAAATGCCGATTTGACTACCCACTTGCCTCGGTCAGATTCCACCACGCAGGTCTTGTCAGCCTCGAATGTCCCTCCAAGACCCCTATAAATACTAAGCTCAGGACTACATTCAAAGGGTTCAAACACCAAACCAAAAGCCTCTCACAGAGCAAATTATATTTTCCTGTAATGCACTTTCAATACCTTTATTTGTTTTCTTAGGAGTAGTGGTAGATTGTAAGGAAAATCCATTCATCAATATATCATACGACCCTTGATTTTCAAGGCGCCGGAGCACCATCTCTATTATCGCCTGACTCACCCCATATATCATACGACCGTCGCTCTCTGAGCAACGTGCCGGAGCACCGCCTAAAAACCCGCCACCAACACCACCACTAAACGGCCTTGTAGCTCAGGCCGTGAACCTGACAACCGAGATCAGTTCCTCTCTCGGCCAACATCGTTTGATTAGGAGTCGAACGCAAAACAGGCGCAACATTTAAACCATCTTCTACCGGAACCTCATCATCATCTCGACGCACGGTAGACCGTGTTGGCACGCCCGCGCACAACCGCACCGCATCCAAAAGAAGGACGTCACGTATCGACGCACATCCCCTCGGCCCAGAGCACCAGGCCATGAGATTCGCGACAGACAAACACTTTTGGCACGCCCGGTGGGACTTTTGTCAAAAACTCATGGTGGAAACTAGGGCACAGGCAAAACTCAAAAACAAAACAGTCGAAATGACTTCTGAGGCTCCTGAGTCCACCTCACCAATCACTGTCACCGAGACCGAACACGCGGTCAGAATCTCAGCCAGCGGTCCAATGACGACGGATCGCACGGCCGAGTCCATGGGAGAGCAAGCAGTCGTTGAAGATCTGATGGGAAAGCAAGCCTACAGGATAGAAACGTCCTTTATGGTCGCAATGGACAGATTCTCCTAAGAGCTACGGATGCTTTTTCAGGAGAGGATGCCGATCACTTCGTCCGCAACGCCTCCCAGAGCCGGACAGAGAGGCCAAGAGCGTGAGAGGTTCGAGCCCTACGACGAAAGCAGCAGCCTCGGCGTCTCTGGCCGCACCCAAGCGTCAGGCTACGACCAGCATTCTCAGCCGCCGACAAATAGCTGAGGGTAATCCCAGCCAACATGGGTAAATCCCAGACCGACCTACCCGACAGAGACGATGTACGGCCCACTCCATGCTTTGGCTGTATCACTGGGGCCAAAGCAGCCCCGCACAGTCCGCGGTCCAGCAACTTGGCCCAGTCCACACTGTGGCCGTCCAGACCCATCCCAGCCCAAGCAACTCGACCGCTGTTTCGTTACAGCAATACGGTCAGAGCAATCCGACCGTTTCACCATTACATACGTCGTCATTGCCGTCAGGCTCCCATCTTCAGTACGGTTCGGTCGTCCTAACTACAACCCATACGAACCCTGGTCAAACCTACGGCGCATATCTGGTACCACCCAGCTCGGTCGCAACGGCCGAACCCCCCGTTCAAGTGGCCCAGCAGGTAAGGCCGCAGAACGAGGGGCAACAAGTTCCACGGCCAGTCGCGGCCCAGCAAGAAGTGCCCCCTCAGGATCCTCTGACCGAAGACGCTCAGCGCACGACCAAGGACGGCTCAGCCCAGAGACGGCCGGGGGCACCGAGTTATACTAAGCTGTACCCACCCGGAAAGCCCAGGAGTTGGCGCGACTTGATCTCTAGGGCTTCTTGGGCACGCCGCACATCAAAGCACTCCATGAGCACATTTCCCTATATCTTGACATACGGCCATGACATTCATAAACTAATGGAGCTAGAGGTTCGATGTCTTCAAGTTTTCACACGACTGAGGCGAAAGATGAAGAGCTACGCGCAAACCATGCCCCGGAGTTTAGAAAAGTTAGAACAGTAAAGACTCGCCGCTTACAGTTTGGCGCAAGTCCAAGAAAAAATGGCACCGAGGGCCTATGACAAAAAAGTCAGAAAGAAAAAAAAAAGGGGGGGAAGTGGGCGAGCAAGCTAAACAAACGGCGCGGCCAATATAAAGCAAACAACATACATTCAATCAATCAGAGAAGAAGGCCCACGCTTTGTATTTAGACGAAGAGATCGTTTCTTTTTTTTTTACAAAAGGGAAAAAGAACGGCCAATCATGGCCGATCGCAATACAAAGAAAAATATATATGTATATATGTGTGTATCTGTATGTTTGTGGAAGAAGAGAGAGAGAAAAAAAAAAAAAAAGGAGTTTAATTATTACATCCCAAAATCCTTGAACGGTCGCCCACCTAAACCCCTTCACTAAACATCCCCCAGATTAGGCATGTTATCCTTCTCCAGGCAATGTCCCCACCATCTATATCCGCCTGCCATTTCGCCTGGATCAGCTTCCTCTCGGCCAATGCCCTCTTTTTCTCGGTCGCCGCCTTAAGGATTTGCATGGCCGAAGACTTCAACTCAGTTCCGACCGCAACCGCACCATCTCGACGCTGAAGGATGAGAATCTCGACGGGCCTGGAGCTCGGCAATCTGAACCTCGACCTGCGCAAGTTCCTCATTCTCTCTTTGGATGACGAGGTCATTTTCCTTCAAGCGGGCCATGGCAGGTTGGACTTGGTCCTTTATCGCCGACAGCTCTTGCTCGAGCGAGCATCCCTCGATCATCCTTATGTTTGCCTCAGCATATCGACCGATCATCTCCTCGCCCTCGACCAAGCGAGCCTGTAGCTTGTCCAGCGGAGCCGAGTCAAGCAGACCTAACGCCATGGCCATATCCAAACAGGACCTGAACTCCATGAATGCCTTAGCAGTGGTCATTTGGTGAACCCCAAGGAATAGGTACTCCCGGAGCCTTCCAATGACGGCCTTGGAGTCCTCGTCCAAAGGGGCCAAGGCCGAGCTGCCTCCTTCTTCATGAACACTGGCATATAACTCCTCGAGATCATCGGAGGAGGTGGTCCCCTGAAAATGGAAAAAGGGAAGTCAAAATGGGAAACAACCAACTAGGACATGGGGAATGACAAGGTGAAAATCTAAATACTCACTTCGGCGACCGACGGCTCGCTAGGAGCTTCTGCAACCACAAGCTTGGTCAGGATCGTCGAGGAGACAGGCTGCGGGCTTGGCGCGTCGGTAGCTATAGCCTCGACCACTGCAAGCTCAGTCACTACCGTCGAGTCCTAGGACCGCGGCGCCGCGGGCATACCCACAACGACCTCGGGTAGCGACAGTGATGACCGGGGAGGCTGGAAGCAAAAAATTCGTTCGAAGGCATGTGGCAGAATTCTGAAAATAAAACGAAGGTACAGTAAAAACAAAACGCTTACCGAGCAGATCACGATGCCGCCTGAACGACGAGGGGCGGACAGCAACGACTCAACGAACGCGGTAACGGCCAAGGTAGGCACGTCAGAGGAGGCTGAAGGGATTTCCACCAGGAGGCCCGCGTCGGGTCCACGGCAAGGACCTCGTTGTCCGGTATGTTCGCGGCGGCCTCCTTAGTGGCTAGCACCTCTGCAACCGCTGCCTCATCATCCATCATTTCCGCCACCTAAGTGGTGGCCGTCCCCTCAACTGCTACCTCGGCAGTGGCCACCTCATCAGCCAACTCCTCGGCCACTGCCTCACCCTGAGGAAAGGACCATATTATCAGAAAAGAAAGAAGAGGGCGTGGAATGAAAAAGGAGGAGAAAAAAGAAATCAAGGAGGAGTACGTACGGTCACGATAGGGGCTTCACTCACGATCCCAGGGGGGACTTCTTCCTCATCCTCGGCCTCCAAAAAAACGAGGAGGACCCTTTTCCTCGGCATATCTAGCACCGCCGTCTCAAAGGCAACACCTTTGGCCGTCGCGGCATCAGCTGCTCCGACCCCAGTGTTTGAGGCCTCTTGCGACCCGGGGCTATGTGTACAGGGAGAAGTAGAATAGGTAATAGGCAAGTAAACAAAGGCAAAGGTGGCACGGAGAAGCCAACGGCAAAGCAAAAAAGAAAGAGGGCTTACCAACGGCAGCGATCGGTCGAGCCGGCGGGGCGGGTGGCAGAGTCCTATGCGCCGAAGTTTTTTGCGCCCCCACTACAGCCGGTGCTCTGGGGGTTGGGGCTGCAGTTGAGGTCGCGACCGCTGCTCTAAACCGAAGGAGGTGCCGCCACCCTGGGTACGGCCGCGGCCGGCGTGCTTGGGGACGAGGGGGGTCCCAGTCTGCATTCTTCAGAGCCCCCGCACGGCCTCTTCAACAGGCCGAATGAATCTAGACGAGATGCACGTGTTACGACGCAGCCAAGGCGTTAGAGTGAGGAAGGTCATTCCCTTTTGAAGCTGGAAGGAAATGCCAGCCAGGCCGTGCTGTTGGGAGACGTCAACCCTTCAAGACGAGAGCTGGTTGGTTGACAACGGGGGAAGCGGTGCTGTTTGGATCAAGACAAATTGCTGCGCCACGAAGTTCGGCAGATAAACCTCGGCCCCAGCCTTGGACAGGCCACAGTGAAGGTCGCACGCGACCAGGAAGGAGCCCCAGATTCCTTCAGATCGTTCTCCGTCTCACCATCAGGAATCACAGAGAGGTCGTGCGCCAAGAACAAAGGGTACGGCCGAGCAAGGCACACCAGAACTGCGAACCAGACCTCTCGACCAAGCCGTAGAAAAATTTATAACAGGAAGTCGAGGTGTTATACTTCCTTAGGGCCCAGGCAAACGCATTGGCCAACGGCTCGGTGACGGTAATATTGGCCGCTCCCCTCAGCTCTGGGAAATAAACCTGCAGCCAGAACTGGAAGGCCCATAGTGGACCACCGTGCTTCGGCTTCATCCCATCCGTGACGACGTCATGAAGTGTGCGGTAGATATGACCGAGGAGGAATGGGCCGAGCGCTAGCCTTCCGCCCTATGCAAGATAGTCGGCCAGGTGGGCGAACTCCAGGGTGACTTTGTTCGCCTGGGTGCAAAACACAACTTGCATAGCCAGTACAGCAAGAACGCGGCATGCTTGACCTCGCCCAAGGGAGCGATGGAATCATCATCGACGCTGTCCTCCACGCCAAAGTTGCTGTAGAAGCTGGAATAGTTGAGCATGTTCTTTGCCTTGCTCCCAGCAAGCTTGGCGACCGTAGGCCATGCGGCCTTAAAACTCCCTTCAGCCTCAGGGGCCACCAGAGCGGCATTTACTTCCATGGGGCCATGTCTAGAACGGTCGGCTCATCATGCCAAACTGAAGGTTCATAGTATTTGTGGCCGACGACCAGAAGCATAGGGTCGCGGCCAACAGTGACCGGTCCATGACGAGCGGCAGGTCGAACAGCTTGATCAAGTGGTAAATGCCCTGATCCTTCCATTGCTGGCCGAAGAAGTGCTCCATCCTCGGCAGCCATTTTTCCTAGTCCGAGGTCGAGGTTGGCCATTAAGGCTGCGGCATGGCAACATTCCAAACTTGGAAGTCTCCCCCGTCAAAGGCCGAGAGGTCCACCAGATTGTTCTTCAAATAAGCCACCAGCCTCTCTGGCATCCCGCCATCTACAGAAGGGCCGAGTACGCAAGAGTCCGTGGCGGTGCCGTCGTCATCAGTCCAAGGTGTGACGATGTTGGGTAAGACCGAGCCCTGGATTTCCCGGCAAATGTCTTCAAATTCAGTCTGGAAGACTTGGGATCGAGCTTCAACAATGTTGGTCTGTCGCAAATCTCGCGGCCTGGTGCTCCGGGCCGAGGGGATGTGCGTCAACACGTGATGTCCTCCTTTTGGATGCGGTGCGGTTGTGCGCGGGGGTGCCAGCACGGTTTACCGTGCGTCGAGGTGATGATGAGGTTCGGGTAAAAGGTGGTTTAAATGTTACGCCTGTTTTGCGTTCTACTCCTAATCAAACAATTGTGACCGAGTGAGGAACGAATCTCGGCCGTCAGGTTCACACCCTAAGCTACAAGGCCGTTTAGCGGTGGTGTTGGTGGTGGGTTTTTAGGCGGTGCTCCGGCGCGTTGCTTAGAGAGCGACGGTTGTATGATATATGGGGTGAGTGAGGCGATAACAGAGGTGGTGCTCCGGTGCCTTGAAAATCAAGGCTCATATGATATATTGATGAATGGACTTTCCTTACAGTCTACCACTACTCCTAAGAAAGCAAATAAAGGTATTGAAAGTGCATTACAGAAAATATAATTTGCTCCGTGGGAGGATTTTGGTTTGGTGTTTGAACCCTTTGAATGTAGTCCTGAGCTTAGCATTTATAGGAGTCCTGGAGGGACATTCGAAGCTGACAAGACCTGCGTGGTGGAGCCTGGCCAGGCAAGTGGGTAGTCAAATCGGCATTTGGGATCGTGAAGCATGGTGGTCTGGGGTTGAGAAGCATGGTGGTGTGACCCCCATAAATCTCGGCCACCGCCCTGATCGTAAGTTGTGCCCCCTTGGCCGTGGGAACGCATTTAATGCCCTGGACTGGTGGTTGATGATCTGACCATAAGTCGTAAGATTACTTGTGAGAATGTATGCGCCTAACCACCCTGATTCGCATCACCAAATCCTGACTTCAGTCACTTCCCTCGTGCATTGAATGCTTCTTGTGACTAGTAGGTTCAGCTGCGAAGTCAGAGGCATTACTTCATTAAATGGAGCGTGGGGCCCTGAGGTTACGTGGCGATTCAACCACAGCTTTTTAGATTGTATCTTTTGCGGCCTTCGGCCTCAGCCTTCAAAACTGCGATCACGAGGCTGAGGGGATTCTGCCTTTGCAGCTTTTCTTTTGCTCTTAGGAGGGCGAAATGCTTGACGAAACGACAGGCGCTAGGGCCGAAGGGAAGTCCCTTCAATCAGTTCATAACCGTGTTTTATTAGGTACAAACATTGCCCCCACATCCCTGGATTCTTCGGTCGCGGCCTGGGCAGAGGCCGAAAGGATTCCAAGGGATGGACCCTTTGCATTCCCCTTGAAGTGATTGACAGTTGGTGCTTTAAATGCGTAGGTCAATCTGCGCATTAAATGCGCAAGCACGTCTCACAGGTCATCATTGCCCAGACTTGCGCGAGCCGTCGTTTCGTCCCGTCAAACGAAGCGATGGCCTCTGGGCTTTCGACACGTCATCGCACCCTTTGAGCACGCTTGTCAGGCCGTTACATCTCTCGAGAGAGCCACGCCCTTTCGTTTCGAATTCTAGTGCCAATATAAAAGCCTGTCCTTCTTCATCCCCTCCTTACGCTTTCAAAACCTCCAGATGCCCAAATTCTGCCAAACCTTTCTCTCAAACCTTCAATCCTTTCGAACTTACATTTTAGCACCCTAACCCTTTTCTGCACAGTTATCTCCCTTTGTTAGTGACCAACGACTTCAGTCGCTTTTCCTGTATTTCTCTGAAAACACTCGAACTCTCTGCCCCTTTTCTGAGCACTCGGCTCCCTGGTGTTCTTCGTGTTCATTACCCTTCCTTCGAATTTTTTCAAACGTACCCTCACTTTAATCTGTTGCAATGGCCTCCAACACCCCTACATCTATTGAAGCTCGGTCCCAAGTCTTTTAGACTGAATTCGAAGACATTTGCCGAGAAATCCAGGGCTCGGTTTACCCAACATTGTCACACCTTGGACTGATGACGATGGCACCGCCACTGACTCCTGCGTCCTCGGCCCCTCTGTAGATGGCGGGATGCCAGAGAGGCTGGTGGCTCACTTGAAGAACAACTTGGTGGACCTCTCGGCCTTTGATGGGGGAATTTCTAAGATTGGAACGTCGCCAGGCCACAGCCCCAATAGCCGACCTCGACCCCGGACTGGGAGAAGTGGCTGCCGAGGATGGAGCACTTCTTCGGCCAGCAATGGAAGGATCAGGGCATCTACCACTTGATCAAGCTGTTCGACCGGCCGCTCGTCATGGACCGGTCGCTCTTGGCCGCGGCCCTATGCTTCTGGTCTTCGGCCACAAATACTATGAACCTTCGGTTTGGTATGATGACGCCAACCATTCTAGACATGGCCGCCTTATTCGGCCTTTCTCCCCTCGGTGTGGAGGCCAGCGCCGAAGGGAGTTTTAAGGCCGCATGGCCTACGGTCGCCAAGCTTGCTAGAGCAAGGCGAAGAACATGCTCAACTATTCCCGCTTCTACAGCAACTTCGGTGTGGAGGACAGCGCCGATGACGATTCCATCGCTCCCTTGGGCGAGGTCGAGCATGTCGCGTTCTTGCGATATTGGCTATGCAAGTTCGTGTTTTGCACCCAGGCGAACAAAGTCACCCTGGAGTTCGCCCACCTGGCCGACTATCTCACGCAGGGCGGAAGGCTGGCACTCGGCCCATTCCTCCTCGGTCATATCTACCGTACGCTTCACGACGTTGTCAAGGACGGGATGAAGCCGAAGCACGGTGGCCCACTATGGGCCTTCCAGTTCTGGCTGCAGGCTTACTTCCCAGAGTTGAGGGGAGCGGCCAACATTACCGACAGCGAGCCGTTGGCAAATGCGTTTGCCCGGGCCCCAAGGAAGCATAATACCTCGACTTCCTGTTATAAATTTTTCTATGGCTTGGCCAAGAGGACTGGGTCCCAATTCCGGGTGTGCCTCGCTCGGCCGTACCCGTTGTTTTTGGCGCACGACCTCTCCGTGATCCCTGATGGTGAAACGAAGAACGATTTGAAGGAAATCTGGGGCTCCTTCTTGGTTGCGGCCTGTCCAAGGCTGGGGCCGAGGTTTATATGCCGAACTTTGTGGCGCGGCAGTTTGGCTTGATCCAGACGGCACCGCTTCCCCCGTTGTCAACCAACCGGCTCTCGTCTTGGAGGGCCGACGTCGCTCAGCAGTACGGCGTAGACCGTGCTGGCACGCCCGCGCACAACCGCACCGCATCCAAAAGAAGGACGTCACGTGTTGACACACATCCCCTCGGCCCGGAGCACCAGGCCATGAGATTCGCGACAGACAAACAGTCTTATAAGATAATGACCATATTTCAGTATATATTGATCCTCTACAGGTGCAGGTGCAGTGTCTTCAAGTGTTTTCTGTGTGTTCACATAAGCTGAGAAATTATTTAATTATGTGTATATTCATTGTGAAATCTCTCACCAAGACCAATTCATGTAATACAAAATTATCTATTATAATTTATATATAAGGCTGTGCAATTATTCAATACCATGACTATGTACCTCTTTTATACATATAATTAGATTGTAATAATTAGTTTGGTACCCCAGCTTACGCCAATCCTGCCGCCGCCACCAAATATGGCCCCATCTTGGAACAAATGCATCAGTTCCCTCATTTGCCTTGATCAAAGGTTTCTTGTAGAACTCTTAATCAAGAATAATTAAATAAAATGATAATTAAGTAACATAATATGATATGGATTTAATATCATATATTGTATTATGTACGAAAGATCCACTTGGATCATGGCTCTCCATTTTAGGGAAGCTGAAGCTCCTGCGAAAGCTAAAACTGCTGTTTCAAGAATGCAGTCTGCCATCAATGGGTCTTCCATCTCAAACCATAGATCGTCCAGCAGGGGAAGTCGAGAATCCTTAATGTCTTCATCATCATCCAATAATGATGGCGCAAAGGGTTTTAAATACTCGGCATTTATTATTGAATACATCTGCATGTAAGGTGGCAGCTCAAGTCGAAATGCATTCTCTCCAATCTTTTCCAAGATCTTGAATGGCCCGTATTGAATTGGATTTAATTTCCTTCCTACACCATGTAATCTTTCCTTGCTGAGTTTTAACCAAACCAGATCACCTGCTTTGAAGTCATGCTGGAGCCTATGTCTGTCATGTTGCGCTTTGTATCGCTGTTGTGACTTTCTGTAATTGCTCCTCAACTTCTTTATGGATCTTCGAAATGCTCTCCAAGAGTCGCTGTGCTTTTAGCCTATCATCATTTTCTTCTCCATTTTGCTTGTCACCAACTGAGAAGACCATATCAAATGGACTCGAAGGTATGTAGCTCAAACAGACTTCGAAAGGTGACTTTAAAATAGAACTATGAATTGCCCTATTAAAGGCAAATTGTAGATAAGGTAAACTCACATCCCAAGTATGAGGATGCTTAGAGTTATATCCTCTCAATAGATGTACCAGGGTCCGATTTACCACTTCTGTTTGTCCTTCTGTTTGAGGATGAAAATTAGTACTATGTTTCAGCTTTGTGTCCATCAATCCCCATAAAAACTTCCAAAAGTGACCAAGAAATCTGCTATCTCGATCCGAAATGATAGAAGTAGGTAACCCGAAATGTTTCCAAACATGGTGGAAAAACAACTTTGCAGCACCTTCTCCTGAGATTGTCTTCTTACAAGGAATTAAGATAACCATTTTGCTGAATCTGTCCACCACAACAAACAAGTAATCAAACCTAGTGGTAGTTGTAGGCAAATCACCAAAAAAAAACCCATTGAGATACTTTCCCAAGGGCCTATTTGGTACCGGAAGTGGTGTATACAACCCCAACTTCCGCGATGGTTTTGAGGTGTTGCATAACACGCAACCTCGAATAAAACGAGAAACATCTACATGCATCCAAGGCCAATAAACATAACGTTGTAGATTGAGGAGGGTTTTGTCAACTCCGAAGTGACCTGCACATCTAGAAGTATGAGCCTCCCTGATCCATTGCAATCGGTCTCCATTGTTGGGGATGCATATTAGTTTCCTTTGAACATGAAGCCATCCTTCATCTCAAATTGGCATGGCTTCCCACGTTGTAGCTTATCAAAGAACATTTTGAAATATGGATCACTATCATAACTTGTTATGTACTCGGAAAGTACTACAAGTTGGAGTTGCATAGCCACCAATAAAGCGGAATGTCTTGGAGGTCTAGACAATGTATCTGCCAACTTGTTTGTAACCTCTTTCTTGTACTTGATAATGATCTTGAATTGTTGCAAGTAGGACATCCACTTCATGTGTCGAGCTTGCTGCAACTTGGATTGTGTCTATAAGTAATGCAAAGGCTTGTGGTCTGAGTGCACTATCACTTCCTTACCTAATAGGTAGCATCTCCAATGTTTCACATACTGATGTAAGGCAAACAACTCCTTATTGTAGGTAGGATAATTTCGCACTGCATCATTGAACATCTCAGAATATACTCAACTAGCTTCCCATCTTGCTTCAAAATGTCACCCATGGCATAATTACTCGCATCCGTTCCTCAAATGATCTTTGCAAATTGGGCAAAGCTAAAAACTAGAGCTTCTGAGATCTTCTTTTTAAGCAATCTGAAGTATCTTCATGTTTATCTAACCTTTCAAACTTTCTTCCTACGTTAGTCAATTCAAATAATGGCCCAAAAATTTGAGAAAAATGGTGGATAAACTTATGTAGATACTGACAAGCTCCCATAAAGTTGCGTACTTCAGTTACGTACAAGGTCTAGGCCAATCTGTAATAGCCTGCACTTTGGACGGATCAACTTTCAATTCTTCGTCACCAACTATAAAACCAAGATACACTAGATAACTCTTCCCAAACTCGCATTTCTTCATATTCAGTCGTAACTGATATTGCCTCAATGTCTCCAACACTTTCTCAACATGAATCAAATGTTCTTCCCAAGTAGGACTAAACACCAAGATATCATCCAAGTAAACAATGACAAAATCATCAATGTATGAACGAAGTACCTCATTCATGAGACGCATAAATGTTGCCGGAGCATTGCATAAAACAAACAGCATCAATAGCCACTCGAAGAGGCCCTGTTTGGTTTTGAATGTGGTTTTCCATGTATCTTCTTCTTTGATTCTGACTTGATGATAACCAGACTTCAAATCTAGTTTGGTGAACCATCGAGCTGACTGTAGTTGATACATTAAATCATCTATTCTTGATAATAGATATTGGTTTTTAATAGTGATTTTGTTGAGTGCTCAAAAATCAATACACATACACCAACTGCCATCTTTCTTTGGGACCAACAATACTGGGGATCCACAAGGTGAGCAGCTTGGCTTCAATACTCCTTGCTCTAGGAGCTCTTTGACTTGTCTCTTGATTTCTTCACTCTCCTTCACTGAATGACGATACATACCCAAATTAGGAAATAGAGATTCTCCAACGAGTTGCATCTCATGCTCTACTGGGCGCTGCGGTGGTAAGCCTTCAACATTCTCAAACAAGTCTGAGAATTGCAATTGTAACTCCTCCATATGAAGTTTTTGTCTAGGAGTAAGCATCATAGTAGATAACACATATGTAGATGGGGTGTTTTCTCATGGTCAAACCACCAATAAGACGAACTTTCCACAAGCATTCACCATCCTTTTAGCTTGATTAGCACTAATCAAACTATTACTCAAGGAAACTTTGCTAGCATAAATGAAGTACTCTACTCCATCCTTCAAAAATCTATACTTTCGATGTCGTCGATAGAACACTACATCACAATCCCACAAGTGTGGACTACCAAAAATTACTTGGCATACATCCAATGGTACTACCTCACAAGTCACTTCGTCAATGTATTCTTTAGTAATTACAAACTTGAAAGTACATTGTCGAGTAATTTATGACTCAACATCTTTTTGTATCCATCCCAACGGGTATGGGTTAGGATGAGGAGTGGTTGTTAACCACAACTTCCGGACTAATGACTCTGAAATGAGATTCTTTTGGCTTCTCGGATCAATTATAGTGTCTATCAAATCATGCTTTACCTGTATACGAACATTAAACAAGTCTTCACGACCTTCCGGATGAACAAGCTTCTGGGTCATAAGAGTCAACTTCGTGTCGGGTTGTACCATTTCTAGAATTTCCACAGTCTTGTTAGCATTCAATGCTCTTCCTCATTGGAATCTTCCTCTTCACTAAATTGCACCCTTTTCTTAACTTTGGATGTTTTAGTTCTTGAGGTCTTCCTCCTTGAATCTTCATAAATCTCATCCTGCGATTTGCGTGCAAGATCCTTCACCAAATTTGCCATCATCAACGTCATTTTCTCCATTTGTTGCGCCAACGACGCAATCTTAGCATCGGTTCCTTCTCCTTCTACTATTGCTTTCTTCTTCTTTTGTCGAAGAGCTTTTTCTGAAATTAATGGTCCAACAAGTTCTTCACCCGAATCCTCGATTTGTTTGCGAGTTGAGACCATAAACCACAAGCTACAACAGAATCTGTTCGCTCTGATACCACTTGATCAAAGGTTTCTTGCGGAACTCTTAATCAAGAATAATAAGGAACACAATGATTATGGAGAATAGAATAGAATCGAATGAAAATTGATTTTTTTAATTCATTCTAATATTACATTTATATATAGAATGAGTTTTCTAAAAATGGAAAGCTAAAAATAACAATTGATGTTAAACCTTAGGTAATGTATGGTTTTAAAAGTTTAATTAATATAAACCTCTAAGTTTGGGTGGTTTCAAATCTATTAGGTTTGAACCGCAAACTTTTAATGGGTTCATAATAATTAAATAAAATGATAATTAAGTAACACAATATGATTTGGATTTAATATCATTTTTATTACGTACGGAAGATCCACCTGGATCATGCCTCCACACTTGACGTTTGTGGTTCCCGGGCACACCTCCAAGGATGGGCGAACGCATCGGCAGACAACACGAAAGGTCCCAATCAGGTCGAGTAACAACCAACATGCAATGGAGGAGGACACAAACGTGCAGACCAACATGCGAGCATGTCACAAGCATCCACGAGTCATGACCAAAGTAGGTCAAGTATCCATCGAGATTGGGCCCGTGAATCAAAGTCCACTCAATGTTGGGGGCACTTTCTGCCCACTTGGGCCATCAAAAGAGTGTTCATTGAGGTTAGGCCCACGAGGAGACTAGCCCCATAGCCCACCTTATAGAGAGCATAAAGGAGGACGTTCACCGACTTGCACCGAAAGGGTAAATTCTAGGCTACATACCACGAAAAATCCTTCACAAGCTCAATCCACTAATACGCTGCACCGGCAGGGCAGCCAAGGAGAACAACACTCTTTAGCCCATGAGGAGGTTGACTAACGACTCCAACGCCACAGACGCCCTCGACAAGTACCGCAAGCGCTGCGAGTGTAGGACGTTGAGAAGTTCGTGAATGATCAACTCTGAGACCTAAAAGTTTGAGGAGACTTGGAAGACGCCTGCACAAAGAGCTAGACTAAGTGAATTCCTCGCCATTCATCGATGAAATTAAGCAAGCAGCTCCACCAAGGCGGTTCACGACGCCTACCTTCACACCTTTCAAAGGGGATTCTGATCCAAAAGCCATCTTAAGCACTTTAGGAGTATCATGATACTCTATAAAGGCAATACACTTTGGAAGAGTCTCGACAATTGATTTCGTCAGCATGTTTCGTGACCACAACCTTGTCACCACAGCAAACATGTTGGTCGTGATATTATAATGTATATTTATATAGCAGTATAAGAAATGTGATGATGGTGGGTAATTCTTCATCGGATGATGGTGTTGCTTGCTTGGTTTCTCCATCAAAGGCTGCTAGTGGTGGTTTGGTTTCTCATTTTTGTCCTAAATATTTTTTAACTTATTTTTAATAACCTAAGGCCTCGTTTGTTATGAATGGTTGTTTTGGCATGGATTATACTTAGGGACTGTCCTTGGTTTAAGCTGAATAAGACTTATGAGGTGTTTGATGTAATGCAAGACTAAGAAGTGGATATGTTAAAATAACATAAATAATAAATGTGTCACTTCAAATTTTAATTTTTACTAAAATGCATCAATCAACCAAAATGTTGAGCCATTTTAAATTTATTTATTTATTAATATCTTATCCAAAAATATATATAATAAAAAAATAAAAAAATATGACCTAAAATTATCCTAAACGAAAAATTAAAACACACCCAACCATTGGTTATAAAACAAAAAACCAAAAACAAAAAACACCACCCCATTAGTCCCAACCCCAATTACCCTCACTTTCCCATCCATCCCCATTCTCCTCTTTTTTTTTCTCTTTCTTCTCTCTCTCTCTCTCCTCTCTCTCTCTCTCTCTCTCTCTCTCTCTCTCATGGTTGGTGCTGGGTTGATTTTGTGTGTGTATTACAGTTTCAAGGTTATATAGAGTTTTATTTGAACTGACATATATTGCAGCAGCTGCTTAAGTGTTAATGTATTTTTCATGGGGTTGTGGGGGCCACAACCATTACAGGCCTATATGTGGGTCCACCTCTTAATGGGTGGGATGGGGTTCAATTGGGTATGGATGGTGCTATTGCTAGTGGTAGATAGAGTTTGACTAAGTGGTGGTGACAGTGGGGTTTGGGCAAATGCGGGCTTATTTGTCACTCCCCCCCTTTCCGCATGCGTTTTATTGTCCCCCATAAGGAGTTGTTTTTGTTGGGCCTGACATAAGCAATCTCCATTTAAAACTATAATAAAGTGAAAACAAACATTAGTTAAAATTTTATCCAAGCCAATTCGGACTTATCCAGTGTAAGGATTATAAAAGAGAGAGACAGAGAGAGAGAGAGAGAAAGAGAGATTTAACGGTTTCCAATTTGCCAAATTTTTTACAGGGATTATTTATCAATGAAGATTTGAAAAATAAACGGTTCGATTGTTGAAATAAAATTCATAGTGGGCCCAACGATTGTCTCAATAAGGAGATTCTCCATTACGGAAGAACCAGATAACGTGCTTTATATGCTTGGAAAGCTCTGGAAGTTTAGTTTCTAGAAAATTTTACTGTTTGTGATTTTGATTTTCCTAGAGGAAGTTACATCAGTTTTAGCACCAGTTGGGTCAGTGCTGGAATTATGCGCGAGTTTTGACAACTTAGCGTCACAAGTTACCATTCTTGGAAAGAAAGCTTTTGGACATCCTTGGGCAATTATGAGGCACCAAAATATTGTATTAATTCAATTATAAGTTAGCTATTTTTGTTGGGATTGGTGGCGTTTGGTCTGGTCAAAGGAAGTGCATCAAAAGTCAAATCCTAATCACATTAGCAGAACAAATTCCCTATTCTAGATGGATTTAATTCCTATCTTTTCTCCAAAACCTAGGAGCTAGCCTATAAATACACATTTTGGACCAGCTTTGAGGGTAGAACCCTAGCGTATTGTTGAATATCTCAAATCACCCAATTCATATACTCACTTTCTTAGCCGTTCATAGCCTTCAAGATTTGCCAGAGGAGGACTTCCACTACAGTGGATTTATCTAATGGTTTTCTATCTTAATTCAAACTTTGTATTTTAAGTTCATAAGTATATTGTTTGTTTCTAAGATGGCTGTGGGTAATTAAATTCTTTGCTAGGGATCCGATATAACCTAACATGATGATTCTATATTATTGAGTTAATACTTTATTTTTAATCAATTCATATTCCTTGTAATTGGCGATTATAGGTATTTTGGATTGTCTAAAATAAGGTTGGGCCGAAAGGTTCATCCCTAATCTTATATGCACTATGAATGAATGAGTTGTTGTTAAAGCTAGGGATCAAGCTAAGACACTTCTTGGTTCCTGAATGTGAATCAATGTGCCCCTCTTCACTTGACTCACACAGTGGAGCGCAAAAATGAAAAGGGCTATCTTCCTAGTACTCCCCATCGAGACTCCCACAGTTTAGAGTGTTGATGGCAGCTACTCGGTTCAGATAATGGTTCACGCATCCCTCCACATCATAACTCTTACCTATCTAGGTTTGAGCTTTGATGCGAGCGATGTATTCTGTATGTTGCCTTCGCATCCTCCTAATTTTCTCCATGTCGTTGTAGTTGTCGGCATGACCCTCCATCCAAAAACCTCCTCGAGAAAGCAAATCTTGAGCCGTAGCTCTGATACCAATTGATGGGGATTGGGGTCCGGACATAGGTCACTAACCACATACACGAGCACCGAAATTTAGGGCTACTGCAAACTCACATATATCGTAGCAAATTCATGCCACAAATAAACTATTTCATTAATCATCAACTCCCTACAACTATTACATTAGCCTTATTTATAGGCTTTACAAGAATTGGGCACTAAGGCTACTTGGTCCAAAAGTAAAGTAATTAACTATAGAATCACACATAAATAATAAAAGACATCCTAAAACAACCTAAATATGAAAATAACAATATATCATGAAATAACTAATTAAATGGTAAATATTTATCTTAATCCACCCATATGCTCCTGCATCAAGTTCAGATTTAAGACAACTATAATAACAACTCTCGCACTTCTCCAGCCCACTCTGCACCATCCTCATCCCCCATCGCCTCTCTCTCTCTCTCTCTATCTCTCTCTCTCTCACCGACCCAACACGCCTTCCTCCACCCAAAGTCACACCCATTCACCACCCAAAATCCCACCTTCATTTATTGGCATCCAAAGTCCCCCAAGCCAAAGTATGACCCCGACTCAGAAGTTGAATTCAAGTTTTGTTTTTTGTTTTTTTAGTCATCATGCTTTAAACATTTAATTTTACTTTGGAAAACCAAAACCTACCTTAATTTCGACATGGAATAGCGTGTCGACCCTTCACAACTTCAAAATTGACCCTGCAAGCTTCAAGCGTTATTTGCATATAATTTGCAAAATTTTAAACCAAATGGCCCACAAATCATTACTTTGGGCTTTGCACCATAATGGCTTTTATCTAAAATTATTACATTTGTTGGGGGAGCACAAATGGGAGTCACCACTTCTACAATTTATAATTATTTTATTTTATGTCTTTCTCTTTCTTCATTTATCATTACATGCAATATATGTCAAATTGTCATGTAAGTTATCAAATTTTAATTTTATAATTTATATTTGACATTTCCCTTGGAGATGCTTTAAGATTACAACTCAAGCAAGAAGCCTTTTTCACAAGGGCGGAGCCAATTAAAGAAAAACTTAGTTACAGCGTGGATATCACTGTTTTACTATCCCTGACCTATAATGTTATGCCACGTGGAAGTGTTGTCACGAGTGTTACTGTGTCAAAGCGTTATTTACCGGGGATAGCAGAATAATTCTTTCCCCATTTCAAGGCTAGAAGTGGTTGTGACCCACAATTTTCAAAAACTCCTTTGCGCTTTATATAAAACTTGACAATTTGTGTGCAATTCATATATATAAAAAAAATGTCAGCTATTGCTTCCCCTTAAATATATAGGCTCTAGCTCTGCCATTGCTTCTTCAGTACTCACGTTCTCAAGTAATCCTTTCGCTACCCCGTCAATTTTCTTATATCAGAGATTGTGGTTTATAATTGAAAATAAATCAAATCGGGACACTAAATGGCATAGTTAGAGGTATAAACGTATATAATATTATGAAAGTACAGAAGATACAAGTAAAAATTCGAATCTTGAGTAACATGTGCTAGGGTTACATTATATATTTCCGACACTTGATGAGAATGTCTCACTGCGAAATATCATGAATTCAGAATCGGAACAAGACAATGTATATAGGAGCAACAAAGCTGTTATTCGACTCTAATTAACTAGGGAGAAGCCGTAGCTTAGTTATGCTTGACCCGCAGGTGATCTAAGCAAGGTTTCGTGAGGGCAGCAGGGCTTGCTTGAAGCTCCATGAATTTCTCATATGTCATCCCAATGTATTTTGGGGCTTGGCCTTCTCTCTCTAACAACTCTGGGATTGGTAAAGCTGGTGTGTCCAGTGAGGGTCCATGGGGCACAGCTATTGATATCCTTGTAGCTTTGTTGTTCACAACAGCCCTATGCCATATGCTCTTGTACTTGTCGTTTGTCAAAATCTGCCACAAAAAAATTAACCATACACATAAATAATCGGTACTTAATTTATGAAAATAAGTAGAGAATTATTAGATTGTAATTCTTAGATAAGATGGGTTTTAGATTAAAAAAGTTGGGTGTTATTTTGGTACCTGCATTTGGTCACCAATGTTAACAATAAAAGTTCCCGGAGCAGCATTCACCAACACCCATTGGTCTTTGTGCTTGACTTCAAGGCCACCCATCTCATTCTGGATGAGGAGGGTCACCAGTCCGTGATCGGTATGAGGAGGAATGCCGATGGCTTTATCAGGCTGTGGGCACGCCGGGTAGTAATTCGCTGCCAGAATTTGTAAGCCACGGTCCCAGTTCATGGCCTTTGCTATGTAGTCAGCCTCCAACCCTAAGCTCTCTGATATTCCCTTCAATATTTCTGTGGCTACTTCTCGGGTTCGTTTGCTGAACTCCAGTGAAACCTCGCTGTATCCAGCAGGTTTGTAGAGTGAGTTGAACTCAGGGTGGGCTATGACCTTGAGGAAATCCCTCCAGAGATGAACTTTTTCAATGTCGACGTTGAAGCTGGTGCCGCACTTGATTGGATCCAACAGGTTCCTTGTTTGGAACTCCTTCTTCTC